TTGGAGAGATATAAATATGCATCAAGAAAATGTAAATGTGGAAAAAGATGGATTTTTAATCGTTTAGAAATGCACGTTCATTAATTAAGAAAGGGTTTAATGAATTTGAGGAAGAACTAAATAGTTACTTACTATCTGGTTCATAAACCAACTTAACTTAATGTAGTTTTATCAAGATATATTTGCGAGAAAATTTAAATTATGAATTTAAAATTGCACAATCCGGTTCAGAGTAAAGCTTTGATCTATTAGAAGAAGAGACACCTGAAGTGAGAAAAGCATATTATTAATATTATTATATTATTATTATTATTTTTATCAAAATATTATGGTAGATATGGAGCGCAAAACCACAAGAGTTATGTAGTCAACTTATTTATTATTATGTAACACTAAATTAGAAAATATTTAAGAAATTAATGAATAAAATGAATAAAAAGGCAACTATATAAGTTAAAATGTTCATCCCAAACAAACTCTCAAATGTACTTTATAGTTATTTTCAAAAAAAAGAGTTTAAAGTAAATGAGTCAAGCTTTTTGCATTTAATAACAATTAGAATGTTGAATGATTTTAGAGCTGTTATCTGAAAATAATTTTTAAATATAATTATTAGATTTTGAGATAAAACATGCCCATTATGTTTAAAAAAGTTCTGGGTTTAATTAATGATTTAAGTAAATTAAAAAGAACGCCTTTTTCTAATGATTTAAATGAAGCAATAGAAGAAGTTTTAAATAATCACAATTACATTTTAATTACAAATTAAATTATTCAATCTTTTATGGTAAATGATAATAATTTAGTTATTCTTAAAACTTATTAAATAGTTTCTATAAATATTACATAATGTAGATCCTAAAATTAATTAATAATGTTACTTTCATTTTAGAAATAATATCTTATGTTGTCAACGAATGCATTTTCAATAATACTTCTAATTTACAATGAGTTTCTGTATCAGGTAAAAGTTTCTAATTACAATTTGAATGAGAATCTCTAGCCTAAATAATAGCGCATTTATTGTTCCACCATTTAATAGTTTTCCAATCTTTTTCTTAATTTTCAGCAAATTCCTAAATTAAATTCATTATACTTCATCAAATTCAGGATTCTCCTTTATTTTAGCAATTATCTATTAACCTGTATCACTATTGTTCCATCTGCTAGACTCAATGAAGAATCCTCTGACTGCTTCAGATAAATCTATTAAAGCTAATTCCTCTGCTGCCTCGTCTTTTTGTACTATGTTAGCTGCTTAACAATCTTCTTAAACAGGCATAAAATTTACTCCACTTCTATATAATTCATAAAATAATGCTCCAACTGATAATTTTTTATTTGCAAAATGAGAAAACTCCTGAATAATATAGAAAAATTAATACAGGATCCTTTTTAAGTAATTAAATATAACCAGGTCCGATTTCAAATTTAAATAAATCTCTAAGTCCTTGAATATCTAAAATTGCCTTTTCATTTCCTACACATCTAAGCTTAAAACTTTTATAGGGATAATCTAAGCATCTTTCTTATAATAATCCTATTGGTCCAACTTTAGGGACACTAGCTACAATATTTACTCCTTTATCTAATTTAGCATCTTCAACTCCATCTGTTATCCATTATTCACTATTTCTATCAAAAAAAGCAACTCTCCAAAGTTTTTGATTTTCTTTGTTTGGAATCCAAATGTAAGAGGGTAATTAATAAGAAACTTTAAAAGTGGCATTTAATTCAAAATTTAAACGTTTAACTTATTCTTTTAATTCATAATTTGATCTAAGTGTCCAATTATTGACTTTCTTAGGAGGGGGTAACATTTACAAATATTCAATATCTAAAACACCTCCAACTATTCTATATTTACTATATGTATTTGGACTATAACTATCAAAAGAGATATATAGAATTTTCTGTATAAATATAGAAATTGATCTTGGTACATCAACAGCCAATTATAATTCAGGATAATCATTCGGTTTATGTCTATAACCAGATGGTTTATTAGAAGGATATATGAATATACCATATTTGAAATCTTCAGTAGGTGAAAATGTTTTTATAACTTCTTATTTTGTTTTGTCATCAATTTTAAATGCTCCTTTAGCCCCTTCATTGGCTTTCTTAGTTAATTCTGCAAATTTTTCCTATGATAATATTTAAAGGCATTTACTTCTATAAAATATTCCGCATACAATACCATTTGTGTATTAATTTCCTCTATTTTTTTATGTATAATTTCCCTAATTTAATTGATATATGATTAATTTCTAGTGACTATATCATTCTAATTAATTGGTTATTGTTGATGTTAATTATTTTGAATAAATTTTCTTTCAGCCTTTAATTATGTTAAAAATCTATATATATCTCGAACAATGTTTTCTGCCTATTATAATTTTTGTAATTCTTCTGGAATTTTAAGATCTTATAAGGGTTTTGATTCTTTAAAGATTGTGATGAAAGTAGTTAGTTAAGCTTCTTAAGTAATGTCTGGATTCGTTGAACAATTCAAAAATTTATCCCAATCATCATTTGCTCTGGAAACCTAAAGATTTTATTATCATTTACTTTTTTTGCATTTTCTAAATTTTCCTTAAATACACTCTTTTAAACTTCATTTTCTATCTCCTCTTCTTATAATCTTGCTTTTTCTTCTGCTGCCAATCTTTCTTCTTCTAGTTTTCTTAATCTTTCTTACTTTTATCTTTATTTTTCTTCTTCTTCTTTTCTTAGTCTTTCTTACTCTTCTCTCTCCCTTTTCTCCTATTCTGCCTTTTCTTTCAATTCTTTCTTGGTTAATTTTTTAGGTGGAGGTGCTTACGGTGGCATTACCTTGATTTATTTTTATGTATGAATGAAAATATTTCATAAAATTATCATATATAATTTCTAAACAATTCTAGAATATTAAATTATATAAATTAATGCAAAAACAAAATAACCATAATATAAATGAAAGAATATTTAAATATTAATTTATACTTTCTTCTTACTATTAAAATATTTATAAAATCTTCATTAATGTAAAATCTATTTTTACTTTTCATTTTGGAAAAAATTTAATTATTCATAAAGTAAAAAAAGAAAAATCTTCTAAATCTTGAGTATTAATACTTTGTTTATAAGCATCATTAAGTAATTGATTTTTCATTAATTGATTAAATTTACACATTAAATAACTTAATTACGTCATTAGGGTATTATTCTATAAAACATTTAACCATAATTCATTCTTAAGTATAAATCATAAAATATAAGCTATTGACATAATTAATAGGCATAAATTTATAAAACGGGTAATTTAAAAAAAATTCAGAATTAATATTTTTTTAAATCATATTTTCTTAAATCCACTTATATAACTTTCATAATGCAGATTAACAAAGAGTAATTGAATGACCAAAACCTTTAAGATTCAAAAAATAAAAATTCTCATACTCTAATAAATGGTATTTGTAAAAAACTACACAATATTTGTACTCTAACTTACCAAATAACATATCCAAATATATAAGTTAAAACAATTAAAAAGAATCGTTTAGATGTCAAGAAAAAGAAAAACAATAAGACAAAAACTTCAAAAACTGATTCTTATACAAATTAATGCTTTTGTCAGACCTGTTTAGATATCAAACTTTTAGAATATCTCTCATAGTTGAATGTTGTTGAAAATTTACAGCATCAGTTAGAAAAAGTTAAGGAGTTGATTTATCTTTTTGATTGAATTAACCTTGATATTTTATTTTTCTTTTTAAAACAAAATTTGATCATCAATAAATTTATTTGATTTATATGATAAATTAAATTATCGTATAACTTTATAAGATAAATATTAAAGCAACTTGGAATAAGTTTTCTATCAATTTTGTGTATAATCTTTTATAAAATTCAATTTTTATAAAACTAAACATTTACTTCAAGTCACAACTTTTCTTTTATTATGAATAGATCTATTTAATTATAAAATTAAAATAATTACATAAGTCTTACTTAAACCTTATTTATTCCTATAAATTAACAATATTTTGATGTTCTAGTACTTTTAAAATCCCATAATTTTATTATCAAATTCTCTTACATATAATTTTAATTTCTAAGGTTTATTTTAATATTCAGGATACAGCATATAATCCGAGAACTAGAATTATTAAGAAAATTTCTAAAATCACAATTATTATAATTTATTTTTATATATCAATTAACAATAAAATTAAATTTATCTATCTCATACTGATGGACCTTTGGCTGATACTTCATCAACCATTTTCTTTAATTATGGATTTCCTTTAAATTTTGTTAAATATTATACTTAAATATCTGCCAATAATTGGTAATTTTGTTGCACTATCATATAGGAATGGTAGGAATGATTTAAACATCTAGAAAAGTCCATAAATTTATAATGGAAATCCAACAATAGATAATCTAAATATTATGATGATAAAAAATCCCAAAAAAAAGAAAATGCTTCCCTTAATTTTGCCTAATATTTAAATACATATTAAATACCTTTCTTTAGAAAGAATGAAAATGTACTTTTAATTCCTATCAATAAGCAAAGTCCAATCAGAAATGATAAATTTCCCATCACTAATAAAGCCCTATCAAGGAAAAACATAACCCCTAAGATAAAAAGCAAAAGACTGACAGTGAGAAAACCCATTCCAATTCCTGTGTTCCTAATATCACAATTGATGATTTACTTTTAGAGTCATCTAGAAAATACATTTAAGAATAATTTATTATTTATATTAAAACACGTCAACCCTGGATTATTTATAAAAGTTAATCTAACAAAACTTTTATAGATAAGGACTTTGATCACAACATCAAATTCTCTTTAAATATTATTATTTAAAGACATATTATTAGTTTTCATAACTCAAAATGAATACAAAAATCTCTTTTTCACATTATTGATAGATACTTGATTTATGTATGATATTGGAACATAAAATTCAGATATTGGAAAATAATTAAAATAATTTCTATATATTGATTATTGGATAGAAATATAATTTATTATAATATCAAATCATTTATAAATCAGGGATTATCATATAAAGGATTATAAATTGAAGGATTAAAAAAATGATTGTTACTTGAATAATAATTATAATTATCATTTTTATTGCCCAAGATAAGTTCTATCAAAAAAATGAGGTGCTGAAGTCCACTTATTTCTGTAGTCATTCATTTACTAGGGATTCTTTTCAAAAACTCCTTTTTTAATAATAAATTTCTTAAGTTCAGAAGTTCGATATTAATCTTTTGGATTCTTGAATTCTTATCTAGTAAAAATATAACTGTTTTGATTACTAATTTGTTGTTTAGAAATGATTAGGCTAATTTTTTTGAAAGTTTAACCAATTTTATGAACACTTCATAAATGATTCCTAAAATAATGACAAAGTATACTTATGTAAGTTTGCTCACATTATATTAATTTTTCTCAAATTTTTATTCTTTATAAAATGTTGAGTATTTTGAGTTTGGTTCACATCTTTCTTCATTCCAATTACCAATCAATGTTTTAGAATTGTATTTCTTTTCAGGATGTGATGTTTATTGTAAAATGAATTCGTTCGGCATAGAAATTAAAATAATTAAAATTATTATTTATTTAATCAATCAGCTATAATCATTGAAACAATTATTTTAAAATAGTTGTAAATGAAGATAAACTTAGCAGATATAAAAATCGAATAAATGTAGTTCTAATATATAATAATTTATTATTCATACATTAAGAATGAAGTGTTACATTATATTTCACTAAGTAATAACATCTTTTCTAAGAGTTATTCACATAAAGTATTGTTATTGAATTACATTCAAGATCATATGATGAAATCTTCTTCTCAAAGGAAAACATATCTTATTTTAGTAAGATAAATATATAAAATTTTTAGTTCATTTAAAATAACTAATTTATTAAAATTAAAATAACATCGTATTATAGTGAACAATAAATATAAACAGTTATTAGAACTGATGATATTAAAGAGATTTTTAGAATATTAATAAAAAATTAAGTGAGAATGTCAATTTTTATTTCTTTTGATAAACAAAATTTCTATTTTTCATTTAATATTTACTAGATTTGAATTTTTGAAAATGTTGTAAGATTTTCTCTTATTTAAATTCTAAATGTTAAAGTAGACAATTAAGAAACTATTATTTATAAAATTACCAAATTATTAAGAATTTTCTATTACAAAAGATAATTAAATTGTTTTATAAGCAGACAAGAAGGTTATTTATCCAATTTTTTATTATCTATTGACATGATTAAAAGATTTAGAGAAAAGAGCGTATTTAACTAAATATTTAATCCTTATATCTAATATATTTTTACCTGATGAATTTTTGATTCAATTAAACATCTATAAGCCTAATTTTAGGTTCATCATTAATCATTTGAATTAGTATAACAATAATATATGAATCCAGAAGAACTTAAAAACAAATATAGCTTATTTTGAACAAGAAAAAGTACAATTAATCAATAAAATAAGTAATTATAAAAGTAAAGTGTCATTAGAAGTAACAAATTATAAGATAAATTATTTGTGATTAATTTAAATTATTTTTATTTAAATTATATAAGAAATATTACATTAAAAAAGATAAACTTATTATGAATTTATGTTTAAAAATTTTTAAAACATATTAGAATATCCTAAAAATACTATTTAATTAGTTTATGAGAAAACTTATATTTTGATAAAGAATGTATATAATCAAGTATTTATTCATAATTTAAATTGGATTTAATATTATTCAAGCCTTATTCTTGAGATTTCTTTAGAGCATTTCTTGTTCCTTTAATTTGTTTATTTTTCTTCTTAACTCTTCTTACTTTTAATCTATAATCTTCTCCTTAAAAAGATCAGGATACACTAAAAATATATTATTTGGTCTAACATAATCTTGCAATAGATTTATCTTCAGACATGAAATCTTTAGCAGTTTTCAACTCTCCTGGAAATCTTCCTTTGGTATTGACTAATTAGGGTTTCTATTCAGGTAACTTTATTATTAATAAGTTGTAATTACTTTAAACATTTCTAATTATTATCTTTCTTCTTTCAAAGCCTATTCAAAGTCTTTAATAGATCTACAATTTAAATTTTCTTTAGGAGGTATATTAAAACTTTTATAGTCATATGATTTTGATTCAAACAAATGACTCATTTCTTTAAAGTGATCTTAATCATTAAGATCATAATGTTAAATAGTTGAAATTGATCTTGCTTACTATGGATCAAGTAAACTTTAATATTAAGATGCAACTGTTGATTATGGAATATGTGGTAAAGTTTAATAGCTCGATGATTGCAATAAAGATTTCTAATCTTGTGATTGATGCATTTGTTTTTATTTCTTTTCAGTTTTAAAATGTTCTAAATTAGGTAATTTTGTAGGTCGAGGCAATTGAGAATACCAAACTAATTTATTTATTGATGGAGTATAGCTAGTAAAATGTTTTTATAGAGATTTAGCTTTTAAAGGCATATAACTTGGTTTTTTTGCTAGTTTAATTCTATCCTTATAACCAACAGATCCAGTCAAAGAAGCATCAAATTCTTTTATATAATCTGCTGTTTTATAGACTTTTTGTTTTTCTCCAGTTTCATTATTGATTAAGTAATAGTTATTGGTCTCTAAATCATTCCATAGAGATATCATGCTATTATTATAAGTTGTATACTAATATAATTATTATAATAAAATTCATATAATATTTGGAATAAGTTAATCAATTAACATTCAAATTGTATTGACATAATACAAACAGATTATTTTAGAATTAGGAGCAGTTGCTAAAAATGAATAATTGCTTTAAACATTTAATAAGCAATTTTTGTTATAAGAAAATATATTATATCTTGATGTTTATATTATGTTATTCAATATCTTTTTACAGCTCTCTGCATAGATGAAGTAAAGGATATTTTTGACAAATTAGAACTAACTTTTGAAAGTGAAGCATTTTGTTAATCTGATAGATTAGATGATATCTTATCAATGTCAGAGGATTTCATTGATTCAAATCTAGAATAATTAGAATCCATTTATTTTTTTGTTGGTTTTGGAGCATTCAAAATTGATGTAACAGAAGAATGAATATCAGAAGGTATATTTTGATCTTCAATGTTTGAATCCACATCATAGTCTTACTATTTCTTATCAAATTAAGAAATATCAGAACTTAACATATCTATTTCCTAATTATTATCATCTTATTTTATTAATTTAGATATATTTGAACTTACATCAGAAAGGTTATCTTATTTCTATTATAACACTCTTTATTATAAAACTTAGATAACTTGTTCATAATATTATTATTATTATTTTAGAGCTTACTTTAAAACTTTTGGATCATCAGAAATAGTTTATTACTTTAATTTATTTTAAATTTCCTTATTGATCTTTACATCATAAGATATATCATCAACCTACTTATATGCTCCTGCTCTCTATAATTTAGCTTGTAATTATTCTATATCTTATTCTAATTTTGCAATATTGGCTTTCATTTATCCTTAATCTAATAAAAGTTGTGAAATTTCCAATTCTTTTTAAGTTATCTATTATTTTAATTAACTAATTTAAGTTTAATAATCAGCTTCTTTTCTTGCAAATTCTTCTATTCTTTCACGTAATTCTTTTCTAATCATTAATAATATAATTACGATTTAGCATTCAATTCTTTTTCTTATTCCATTAATCTCTTCTCCAATTACTAATTCTTCTTAATTACTTTTCCTAATTCAGTAGATTTATTTTCTAAATCTCTTTATACTCCTTACTTTTCTAATTTTATTATATCTATTTCTGCTCTCAATTACTTTTCTACACTTTCTAATTTAGTCTCCTAAACTTTATTAAGCATTTTCTATTCTTCAATATCAACTTCTTTTGTGATATCATGAAATTCCTATTAATTTTCTCTTCTTTTGTAATCCTCCATCAATTTTTGAAGTTATTCATATTTCTTAGTTAGAATCACTAATTAACCTTTTTATTCATTTAAAACTGTAATCTATCTACTTTTTTCATCTAATGTTTCTTCCAATTTAAAATTCTTGTCTTATAAAGCAGCAATTTCAGCCTTAAAATTAGAGTTATCTTCAGTTAATTATGCTATTTTTTTAGTGTGTATATCAAATTAAGCATCCAAAGAGAATGTACTAGCATTTTCACTTTGATCTGATTGCATTAATTCTTATTATTTCTTTGTCATTTATTCTTTAAGAGATCTCAATTAATTTTCTAACTTCTTGTTTTCAATTTTCAATTCTTCCCTTGTTAATGCCTTTATCTTTGGAGGACCTTTGTTCAAAGCCTCAATAATTTAATTATCACATCTTTAATCATTATTGACTATGGAACGCAATGTTTAAATAACTAGATCTTAATCTGCAATTTCTTAATTCAGTTACTCAATTAATTGTGATCGTTTGTGTTCTTTATTCATATTTTTTAATTATGCATTCTCCTTTTTTAATAGTGTGATTGAATTCATTAGATTACGAACTTTATCTTAATGTATTTAATTTAAAGCATTGATCTTCTCTAATTATATATATTATTTAATTACTTTCAGCAGCCCCATTCTATTCTTCATATTGAAATATCAATTCTTTTTAATCCTTATTTAATTTTCTTAGTTCTTCTAGTTAATTTGTAAGTAGGATAATCTTCTATTAATCTTACATAATAATAAAATTGCAAAAATAGTATAATTAATTTACATGGGTATGAGACTTAAAAAACTTACACAAACACTCGAAAGCAAACATTCATAATAATATAATTTCCCTAGAGGAGCTGATCAATTCGAATATTCGCCAGATAGATCATATAGTTCCTTATAAGGAGATATATACGACCTCAACAGTCAAATAAGACGCATTCATCGAAGAGTTTTATCTTAAGTTGTATTTCAAAAAGGAAAATCAAAAGAGAATAAATTAAGCACTCTATCTCCTCTGAAAGTTGATTAATTGGCAGTCACAAAAGCAAAACTTAATTCATAAAGATTCTTTTTAATGAATTAAGTACGTAATATTAGACCAAAATAAAATAAAATGTAGTCTTCGTAACTGGTCATTTAGAAGTCTTCATAAAAGAAAGGTTAGCGAATGCATACAGATACTATTGAAAGTATAACCAAATATCGATTAGGATGACTTAAATTATTATTTTAATATAAATGTCTATTCGACAATTTGTAGGGATTCAAGAAATAGCCAAAAAGGCTTTTAATTCTTTAATTGTGATACGCAAAGAGATTGAGACTAAAAATCAAGAGGTTTTAGCACATGGAATATCAGTCTATAATTAAGTTGTACCTGTTGATGCAAGCAGAAGCAAGTTTGGATTTTTCAGATGTAATTTAATATTATATTAATTTTTAGCATCTCGTCTTGACAATAGATCAGATCATAGATATTATGATATGAATCCATTACCTGCTCCAGAGTCTAAAATTGCTCGTGTTTACATTATGGATGATAATCGTATGCATTAAAGTAATTAGTGTTATGAATACACATAGATCCAACTATGAAATAAGGATATCATTGGAATGTCTAAATAGAGAGAGGACCAATCCATAGAATGCCTTGGAGTGGTTGGACATTTTCAAAAGATTAGAAGAGTAGAGAAGTTTATAAGTTTGTCAGTTTGGAAGCTGCATTAGAGTTTTGTCAATAAGATGGATATGGATATATTGTTCAATATCCACATTTTCGTTACACTTCTAAGAGAAAGTATGCTGACAACTTTAAATGGAAAGGATTTCCAAAGGATGAATAAGACTCTTGAAAAGATATTATAAATAATAAAAAGGAATATCAATAATTGGCATTCTAAGACTTTCTTAATCTTTTCAATTCTCTATTATTAATATATTCTTTAGAATTATTGTATATAATGTATTATATATATTTATGTATTAATTTCATTCTGAGATTTTGGTTAAAAGTGTATAAAACCAATTTATTAATGATTAATTAATTATGATTGAATTGTAAGAGACTAATACAAAAGAGGAAATGGATTTTGGGTAAAATATACATTCCTATTTATTAGATATTCAACCTTGGAATATCAAGGTGAATATGATGATTAATATAAATTAACAGCAATCTATTATAGGATTAATAAATGCAAATAGATCATTTATTATGTTTTATTAATTCTAACTCTTGGATTATTGTACTTATTTCAAAGATGGTTTATAAATCTGAGATTGTTTCTATTGTAAGCTTAAATCATGTAAAAAGATTTGAAAAATGTGAATTTGGTACAATGACACATGTTTTAGTGATCAAGACCAAAAACATTATTCCAATTGCAGATGATTAATTATGTGAAGTTACCATTGTAAAGGATCATGTTTTCTCTAAAAATGCTAGAGTCTTTAATTATGAACTTAGTGATTATTACATTGATACATATACAAAAGCATTAGTTTAGATGAGAAATTCATTTTCTTAGTACACATAAGAGAGAATTTGTAATATGAAAGGCCTTATAGAGTTGAAAACTATATTTGGAGAAAATATTATGGAAATACCAATAAAACCAATTCCACTCCTTTTACTTGATGAAATATTAACACCTTTTAATATATTTTAATTTAGTGCTTTGGCATTATGGGCTTATGATGATTATTTAAATTATTCTCTCTTTATTTTAGTTATTACAATTATTTAAATTAGTATTGAATTGAGAGATGTAAGATAAAATTTATAAAAAATATAAAGAATGATTAGATTTAATGTAGATGTAAAAGTAATTAGAAATAATAATTAAATTACAATATAATCAAAAGAATTGATTCCAGAAGATCTATTAATAATTGAAGGACATACAAAAATTAGTTGTGATTGTATTTTGATTGATGGAAATTGTGTAATGAATGAAGCTGTACTAACAGGTGAAAGTGTACCAATTAATAAATCTAGTTTAGAAAAGAATGAATAATTATTTTAATAAAAAGGAAATGAAAATAAAATGTTATTTAGTGGTACTACATGTTTAAGAAGTTATTCATAAAATGGAGAATATGCTAAAGCTATTGTATATTAAACAGGATTTTAAACATTAAAAGGCAGTCTTGCTAGATCAATACTGTTTAATAGAACTTAAACATTCAGTTTTTATAGAGATTCATTAAGATATCTATTTGTATTAGCTATATTAGGTTTAATATAAGCTAATATTACAATTTTAATAAGTGGTGCTTAAGGTGTCGCTCTTGGAGAAAGCATAATAAATGCTTTGGAAATAGTAACTATAATAGTTCCTGCTACATTACCAACTGCTTTAGGAGCAGGTATTAGTCTTGCTTTGAAGCGATTAGAAGATAAATCTATTTAATGTGTAAAACCTGATAAGATAAATGTGGCAAGCAAAGTAAATTTAGTTGCTTTTGATAAAACAGGAACATTGACTGAATTAGGACTTGATGTTTTAGGATGTAGAGAAATAAAGGATTAAGGATTTAATAAATTATAGATGATTAAAGATGTTTCAGAATAGTTTAATGAATGTATGGGTATTTGTCATTCATTATCAATTATTAATAATGAAATTATGGGAGATCCAATTGATTTATGTATGTTTTAAGAGACTGGATGGGAATTAGTAGAAGAAAGTAAAGCAAGAAAAGAAATGAAAGAAGTATTAGTATTAAAGAGATTTGATTTCTAAGCAGAATTGTAGAGAATGTCAGTAATAACTAATTAAAATATATTATATTGTAAAGGATCACCTGAATAAATAAAGAACATATGTATTAATATACCTATTAATTATAACAATATGTTATAAAAATATAGTAGTTAAGGATTCAGAATAATTGCTTGTTGTTATAGAGATATTGCATTTATGAATATGCAATAATTACATAAAAGAGATATTTATGAATCAAATATGATATTTTTGGGATTTCTAATATTTGAAAACAAATTAAAAGCAGAAACTTAATCTACAATAATAAATTTAAAATAGAGTAATATCAAATCTATTATGGTGACAGGTGATAATCCATATACTGCAATTAATATTGGATTGTAATGTAATATATTGGATCAAAATAGTAGAATATTTTTGGGATTTCTAAATGATGGAATATTGTATTGGAATGAGATAATGTAATTGAAAATGAATAAAGTTGATGAGAATAGAAGTTCTTATAGTTTAGATTCAAATTAAGTTTAAAATTTAGAAACTAATTAAATTATGAAATTAAGTTGTCATTTTTAATTAGCAATTACTGGATAGGTTTTTGAACATTTATAATAATAATATGCGGCATTTTTGGATAATTAATAATTGATTTTGAATCTATTATAAAGAACATACATTTATTCAAGAATGAAACCTAATAATAAAGGAGATCTTATGCTTCTTTTGAGATAAGACAAGTTTAATTTTATTGCTTTTTGTGGAGATGGTACTAATGATACCTGTGCTTTGAGATAGGCAGATGTTGGTTTAGCATTATCTTTAGAGGATGCTTCTTTGGCATCTCCATTTACAAGTACAATATTCAATATATCTAACATTATTAATTTAATAAAAGAAGGTAGAGCTTGTTTAGTAACTTGTGTGGAATGTTTCAAATTTATGACTTTGTATTCATGCATTCAATCTGTTGCTGTATTATAATGCTATTTTTATGATACAGATTTTACTTAAGTTCAATATCTTTATTAAGATTTATGGTTGATAATCCCATTGGCATTTACTATGGATTTAACAAAATCATATAATAAATTAGCTAATTATAGACCAATAAGCAATTTAATCTCATTACCAGTTTTATCATCTGTTTGTGTGATTATTCTTATTTCCTTTCTTGCTTAAATGATTATGCATTAAATATTAAAACATTAAGATTTCTATTAATAGATAGTAATTGAATTGGTTAATGATGATTATTATATGCAACCTAATTATACAAATTCTATTCTACTTATAATATCCAGCACTGAAATTTTGGCTGTAGCAATAGCATATACTTAAGGACCTCCTTTTAGAGAAGTCATTTATCAAAATTTCTATTATATGTTAGTAATATGTTTTGGGATAGCTGGTTAAATTATATTAATATTCTTCCCCAATTTAATAGGATTTGTAAATTTGGAGGTGGAATTTCCAACAGATTTTAAAATTTAAATTCTAATTGTTAATATAATAGTAGGAATTACAATTATTTTTTATGAGAAATTGATAACTGGAAAATTGAATTAGAAATATGCAGAAGTAGAAATTAATCTAGGAAATCAAAATTGATAAGATATAAATATATTCACTGTGTATTTTCATTATCTTGCTGTATCTAATTTATATTCTGAACTTTGCACTAATTAATTAATTACTGATGTATCTAATATCTAAATATCTTGATTCAATTATAGTTTCATTAAATCGATAATAGGTTCATCCATACTATTTATCAATTTCTAATTTATTGGATCCTAATAATTTGTTATAATCTCTTTAAATGCCTATTAAGCTTCTAGTGCCTTTTAATATGGAGTCTTTGCAGGTTTCAAAAGTGAACAGAAATTATCTTCAGAAATATCTTAAGGATCTGCTCCTATAAAGGGTTTAGGTAAATAATCAAACATTTTGATTTAGGCTTTATTAAGAAGTATGAATTTCAATTTGTCAATTTCATGTAATTTATTGATAATATACAAAATATCAAGTGATTTTTAGATCCTATTAACAGCAAATTAAAATTGTGAATGTTTTATGTTATCTTTGTTCTTTCTTCTTGGAAATTGAAAAGTAATATATTCCAAAACATTTAAATACAGTTTCTTTGTTACAACTCTAAAAAACCGTTTAATGGATGCTGAAATTTCATTAGTTATATGTGCCTTCTAATTGTCAGTATCAGCTTCTGTGATCATTTAACTCTTTCTTTATATACTATATAATCTTTTTTTAATATTCAATTAATTGAGTTAACTCCAAGATTTCTACTTTTTAAATAATGGTACCATTGGAATATTCACTTCACTCTAACATAATGGTATTTTTTTATCTAATTATTATTATGGACTAGTAACTTTTTCATTTAATTTATCATTAACAATCTAAATCCTATCATTTTAAGTGGTTGCATCATCATCATTAGAAAAATTAAAAAGAGAGTTAACAATTTACAATCGATAGGATAAATTACTAAATGGTAATTATAAGAACATGGCTAATGTAAAAATAACATTCCATAATCCACCAGCTTCTCCAAGAATTTACTATAGTTTAGGATATTATCTATAATGAACAAATTCTGTTTTATTAAGTCTTATTCTGAATTGAAGTAATTTTTAACCATCACCAACTTCATAAGTTTCTTAATGGTATTGATATGCTAATACACTTTCAAATTTCTCATCTTTAAACACCATTCCATCATCTGAAATTACTGTAAATGGACTCATATAAATATCAATTCTTTTTTAAATATTTCGACTTAAAGTTGTATCTATTTTCTCTATTCTAGTTTTTATAGGATCTTTAACATCTTTTAAATCATAATAAAATGTTGGTATTTACAATTAAAATTCAAGACTTTCCTCTTATTTATGTACTTGACTAGCATTATTCAGAGATATCTCAATGATAACATATTAAACTCTTTAATCTGATTCATATAGACTTATTTATTTAGAGTAATGATAAAGATTCTATGTGAAAGAAAGTGGCCCATCTTAAGTACTGACATTTATGTTTTGTTCTTCTAATCCAGTTATATGAATTGTAAAATTCATAAATTGAGTGGAGTTTAAGACTTGATGGTAGATCTAATATTGATAAGAACGAGGATTTTTATCTAAATTAATGAAATTCATGCATAAAAGGACACTCATCATAGTTATTATAATTAAAGTTAGAAAGGCACCACAATAGGTTTTATGACGCTCTTAATCTTTGATTAGTAGAGAAACTGGCTTATTAAAGAAATCAAGGGATCGAATTGGTTTAAGTAGTTTTTTATATTTTTTCATTAAATTTAGGATCAAATAATTTGATGAATTAAATGGTTAATTGATGCCTCTTAAAATCATAATTTAATTTAATGAGTATTTCAAGTGAAGATGAAAATGAAGTCATGTAAGTAGAGTTAGGAAGTGATGAAGATTAAAAAATACAAGAAGAAGAAGAAAGAATAAAGAAATTAGAATAAGATAAGAAAACATTCATGAGTTCAATTAAACAAACAAGCAAATTGAATGCTAATGTATTTAAATAATGTTATGAATTATTCATAGATTAAATTTGATAATATAGAATCAAAGATAAATACATTACTTGAAAATGCAGAGAAGTATGCCATGTTCCTATTACATCGTCATAAGCGTACTTAAGAGTCAAAATAGAAGGCTTTAACATAATAAAGAGGTAAACATAGACAAGTAATTGATGATGCAAGTGAAGAAGAAGATCTTGATGATGCGCCAACTGTACTTGATAAACAACCAACTATTTTAAGAGGAGGATAATTAAAGCAATATCAAATGACAGGTGTTAATTGGATGATTTCTTTATTTGAAGAAGGAATTAATGGTATTTTAGCTGATGAAATGGGTTTGGGCAAAACAATATAAACTATAGGATTTATAGCATTTCTAAAAGAATATACTAAAATTAGTGGACCACATTTAATAGTGGCTCCAAAATCAACTCTAGGTAATTGGATGAGAGAATTTAAGAAATGGTTACCATGTGCTAGAATAGTTAAATTAATAGCTGTAAAAGAAGAAAGAGAGGATATAATCAATAAGTTTTTTCAACCTGGTAAATTCGATGTTTGTTTAACAAGTTATGAAGGAGTCAATATATGTTTGAAACATATACGAAGATTTTAATACAAATATATTATTATTGATGAAGCTCATAAAATAAAAAATGAGGATGCTATTATTAGTTAAAATCTTCGTAAAATTAGAACTAATTATAAATTACTTTTGACTGGTACTCCATTATAAAATACACCTCATGAATTATGGAGTTTATTAAATTATCTTTTACCAGATTTATTTGATTCCTCGGAAGTATTTGATAAATGGTTTGAAGTTAATACTGAAGCTAAATTAAAGGAAGGAAATGAAACTATTAAATAAGAAGAATTAGATTAAAGAAATCTTGAGATGGTCCAAAAATTCCAAAAAATATTAAGACCTTTCATGTTAAGAAGAACCAAGGCAGAAGTTGAAAGAATACTTCCTCCTAAATAAGAAATCCATCTTTTCATAAAAATGACAAATTTATAAAAATAAATGTATCAGAATATTCTTTTACATAATAATCCAAATGAAGGTGATGATAAAGGCTTTTATATGAATAAATTAATGTAATTACGTAAAATATGTTTACATCCTTATTTGTTCCCTGAAGTTGAAGATAAATCTTTACCACCTTTAGGAGAACACTTAATTGAAGTTGCTGGTAAAATGAGAGTTTTGGATAAATTTTTAAAGAAATTAAGTGATGGGACACATTAGGTATTAATATTTTCATAATTTACAATGATGCTCAACATTCTTGAAGATTATTGTAATTACAGAAAATATGAATATTGTAGAATAGATGGAGAAACAGAAATTTAATAAAGAGATGATCAAATTGCTGAATTCACTAAACCTGATAGTAAAAAGTTCATTTTCCTTCTTTCTACTAGAGCAGGTGGTTTAGGAATCAATTTAGCTACTGCAGATACTGTTATTATTTATGATTCTGATTTTAATCCTTAAATGGATATGTAGGCTATGGATAGAGCACATAGAATAGGATAAAAGAATAGAGTAATGGTTTATAGAATGGCATGTGAACATACAATAGAAGAGAAAATTATAGAAAGATAATAGATTAAATTACGTTGGGATTCTCTTATGATTTAATAAGGTCGTTTATCATAAAAGTAAAGTGGAAAATTATTATCAAAAGAAGATTTAAAAGAATTAACTACTTATGGTGCTTCTTAGATTTTCAAATTAGATGGAGATGATATTAAAGATGAAGATATTGATATACTTTTAAAAAGAGGTGAATAATTAACATAATAAATGAATGAGAGAATTTAAAAGAAATTTGAAAATTTCAAAGATAAAATGTAATCACTTGATTTAGGATTGGGATAAATTAATATATTTGATTATTTTAATGAAGAAAAATAAAATAAAACTGATGAGGATGCACTTGAAGATGCAATAGCTAATCATCTTTTTAATGAGAATAAAACAAGAAATAGAGACAAAAGAGCTATGATGCTTGGAGGTAATTCTAAGAAAATATAAGGAAAATAAATTAAATTATAAGAACATCATTTATATGAGAATAAAGATAGATTATAATATTTATTATAAAAAGAAGAAGATTATCTAGCATTATAGAAAACTTAAAAAAAAGGTATAGATAATGAAGAAAATATTGATTTTGGAGGACTTACTTAAGAAGAAAGACAAGAATAAAAATAATTACTTGAAACTGGATTTAAAAATTGGAATAAATAAGAGTTTTCTGATTTTATTATTGCTAATGAAAAGTATGGAAAGGAATCTTATGAAAAAATTTAAGAATTTATTAAAACTAAAACTTTAGATGAAGTAAAAGCTTATGCTTAAGCATTTTGGGAAAGAATTGATGGTTTAAGTGAAAAAGATAAAATTGTTAAGTAAATTGAAAGAGGTCAAAAATTAATAGAATAGAAAACTAATGGTTAAAAATTAATAGAAGAAAAATGTAAACATTTTCATTAACCAAAATATGAACTTGTTTTTACTCCATAACTCTATAATAAATTCAAAAGTAAATACTTTAGTTTAGAAAATGATAAATATCTTATATATATGACTAATGAAGTTGGATATGGAAATTGGACCTTACTTAAATAATCTATAAGAAAAGAACCAATGTTCAGATTTGATCATGCATTCAAATGTAAAAGTGAAAATGAACTCAAAAATAGAGTCATTTCTTTAGTTAAAGTACTTGATAAAGAAAAAGAAAATAATTCTATGGGTCGTTCTCCTGTCAAAAATACTTATATTGATAAATCAAAAGTATAATAAGATTCATAAAAAAAGAAAATGAAAAATGAAGAAGATGAAATTTAAGATGGTTCAGAATCTGCGAAAAAAGTTAAATTGTGATATTATAAATATATTAGTAATTATGAATCATTGAATTGATTTTATAAGTATTCTAATTATATTAATTAAAAGGCGTTGGATATGAATTATTTAGAATTTAATAAACTTTAAAAAAATAAAACAATAATTAGTTAAATAAGAACTTATCTATAATTATAATTATAGTACTAATTGATAATAAATTATTTAATTATCAATAATTTTTTAATACTCTTAATTGAACTAATTTATATTTTTTGAATATATGTATAGTTAATGAATCCATCAGATAAGTTCTTAATTTAGTGTTATTTATTTAAAATTAATTATATTCGATAGTGTGAAAATATAATTTATAATTTCTTAGTTGCATCTGAAATGTTTTCAATAAATAATTCATTTTTCTTTTCTGAACTCCGAATTATTATTATTAATTTAATGAATAATAAGTGATTAAATCATCAAATCAAAATATTATAAATGATATATAATATAAATTTAAAATTTCTTGATGAAACAAAATAAATTAAAGCAAATACAGCGTTAAATTAAAAAAATAGATATTTTTGCATCACCTGTTGAACTAATGATTTAAAAGAAGCGCTTACATCAATCTTTATTTGGAGCATTAATGACACTATTGATGTTTGGGTGTATAATAACATATATTGTTAACAAATTTGTATAACTAGGAATGAGAAAAGAATTCTAAACTTTATATTCAGAAATCTATTATGAAGAAATACCAATTTATCCATTAGTGTCTGAAAATTTCACTTTATAATTTGCCTTTTAGAACTATAATTAGAAAAACTATATAGATGAATCAATTTATAGAGTAAATGCATTTATGGTTAATAGAGTTTAAAGAATGTATGAGTTAATATAAATAGCAGAGCCAATAATAAAACAATTTAACATATAACAAAAACAGAGATTCCCTTAAGTAAATGTGCAAAGATTGGAATAACTTTCGAGGAGATTGAAGAGTAATTGGATAATGTTGATTTCAATAATACTTATTGTATAGATTGGGAGAAAATTTCAGAGTTAAGTTTAACTGGTACTTCTGATTAGGATAACTATACTTATATATATGTAAATTTCTAATTATGTGTTAATGATACAAGCAATAGTAGTTTATATTATATAAATAGGTGAGAGTGTGATATGTAAGTCAAAAGAGGAAATGTAAGATAAATTAAGGAGGAATTATATATAATTTTAAATATCCTCATATAATATTGATTTAAGGAATTATCAATAACCAAATGTTCCAAAGGTTGAAGAGATTTAAACAACTATATCTAGTTAAGTAACAAAAGACATTACTTTATTTATGCAACCAATAACTACATTGACTGAAGAGGGATTATTAGATGAATTAGTTAGAAAAGATGCTACTATAAGGTATTAAAAAAGTTAAGAAATAATTGATTTCAATAGTGATGAATCCTTGGCAACGGTTTTGATTAGATTATCAAATACTGAGAATATTAGTTATAGAATATATCCAAAATTATAAGATATCCTGGCTTAAGCAGGAGGTTTATGGGAATTGTTAATGCTTGCATTTTCAATAATAGTCAAACCATTTTCTTAAATGTCATTTAAAATGGAAATCATAAATAGTTTATTCAATTTTGAAGGTTAAAAATAAACTGACTCAGATGAAACTGATAATAAAAATAAACATTTTGATAAACTTAATGAGAATATTTAAACTAATGAAAATGATGTTTCAATAATGTTAAACTCATTAAAATCAAAAACAAGTGCTAGATTTCCAAGAGGAAGAGCAAAATTAAAAATTTTAAAAGTAGATGGACTTAATTCTGCTTAAACTGAAAAGTCTTCTTAAGTTTTTACTAATTCTCCTGAAAATGATAAAATACTTTAAAAAGGAATTAATTCTGCATTTAGAAAGTTCTTTAATGTTGCAACGCTTAAATTACATTTTAATCCATTTGATTATTTTAAATATATGAAATGTGGGTAATAATGTATTCAATATTTTAAAGATAAAAAGAAGGAAAGTACAAATAATTAAGTTATTCAGTTTAAAAATTAGATAAGTGTCTTGATATACTTTTTATTATTGACAAGTTATAAGAAATAGACAAATTAAAAATGATTTTATTATCAAAAGAGTAAGTCTAACTATTTGATTTTCTACCTAAACCATTAATCAGTCTTGATCCTACAAATTAATAATAAAGTGAAAATTATTAATATTCTTCTTTACTTAAACCATATAAAGGATTAAAAGAAAAATCATTAGAAGCTTAATAAGTATTGGATTAATTACTTGAAAATTTAGATGATCCTATTACTAATAAACTTATTTCTTTAATGGATCCAAATTTAATTAAATTATTATAAATATAACATGAGTTAAAAAAGAAATAAAGTCCCAAATTATTAATTAATGATTTTGTTGAATGATTATTCAATTATATTAATATATTAATTAATTGAGAATTCTTATTAATAAATAAATAATATATATTTCTTAATAATAATTAATCTCAAATGTGATTCATCATTACAGTGGTGTAACATATCATGAATTCTTCAACATTCAAACCTTTTTCTTAAGCACCAACCATATCAAGTAACATCAATAATCTCTTGATTGGAATATCCTTAATTTATGATGCAATTGTAATAACTTACTATTCTTATTATTAAGATAATTAAAGTTTATTTTATGATTAAGGTGAAGTTGTCAAGTAATCTTTGATAACCAATTTAATCTCATCAGGTTTAACCAAATTTGGAACTTTAAAGGAAACATTAAAACAAGAGACAACTTCTAATTATTTCATTATTTGATATTATGATGTTGTACCTATAATCAAAAGTCTACATTAAGACTAAAATTATTTAATAATTATTTATTACTTTATCTGGCAATCTCTTGATTAATACTAATAATGCCTATAAAATTGCATTAGAGAATCTAGGACCTATATCTACATATTCTATAAGTCTTTCAATGTTGTCAATAAGAATACATGAAAGTGATGATTTATATGCATCATTAAATATTCTAACCATCTGATTAATTATAGCACCTTCAGTTAAACCAATAAATGTTTCAGGAGATATTAATTTAACATATGGAAATCCGCATTCTACTGCCAACCATGCTGCTACACTTGTTTTACCTGAACCTTATTCTCCTTCCAATAAAACAGAATTTAATTAAGAGTTCTTACCAAATCTAGTTTAATCAATTGTATTCTTTAAGATTTTTTAAAGTTTTCTAAATTCATCACCAAAATCAATTAATCTATTTTTGAGTAATAAATCAAATTTATTTGAATCAATACCAAATTAAGGTTTAACTTCATCTAATGCATTCATAAAATCACTTCTTCTAACTTGAAGTTCATCCTATTTTGTTAATTTCTTTTAGAAATCAAAAATACTCTACATTCTCTAAAATGCAAAAGATGATGCAGATTTAACTACTGCTTCTATTTCAGCTCCAGTATAATTTTTAGTAATTGAAGCTAATTCCTCTAAATTTACATCTTTATCAAGTGCATTATTTTTTTTGAGATTTTCAGTATGTATATTCAAAATCTATTATCTACCTTATTCATCAGGTAATCCTACTTCAATATGAACTTCAAATCTCCCTGGTCTAAGAACAGCTTCATCAATTAAATCTTTTCTATTAGTCATACCAATGACCAATATATTATTAAGAGAATTAACTCCATCAATCATTGATAACAATTAATTAACAACATTATCATATGCACCTGATCCAGAATTAATTGAACCTCTCTATTTACATATAGCATCCATTTCATCAAAAACAATTATATGTAAATCACTTTAATCACCCTTTGTTTCTTAATCAGATATCGCTTCAGCAAATAGTTTTCTAACATTTTCTTCAGCTTCTCCTACAAATTTACTGAAAATCTCTGGTCCATTCACAATTTTTGGAGGTCTAGCCTTCAATACTTTAGCCAATTATCTTGCAATTAAAGTTTTACCAGTTCCTGGAGGACCATATAATAAAAGTCCCTTAACATGTTTTATTCCATATTTTTCAAGAAAAGCTTATGGAAATCTTCTAGATGAAAATGCTCTTCTAAATATATTAGCTAATTCTTTATCTAAACCTCCAACTCCTAATTTATCAAAGGAAAAGTCTTCTCTAAATATACTAGCTGTATGTGTTGAAGCATTCTTCATTTTCAATTGATTTACTCCTTATCTAATACTAAATTCAATTTCAGTTTCATCAACCAACATACCACCTCCCATAAATTTAACTTATTATGATTCTACTCCTACACTCAAAACATCAGTGCGAGTAACCTATGATTTTTAAATTAGATTAGCATACTTTATACAAGTAAGTATTTCCTTCAAATAAAAATAGCTGAATTTAACCTGCTCTAAAGAATTATCCATTATATGCTCTTTTCAAAAATGGTGCTAAATCTTCTGAATTCAATTCTACTCTGTCTAAACTTCCTTATTATTAGACAATATCTAATTCAATATCAAGTACTCCTAATCTATATTCCTTATCTTTTGGAAGTGTAAACACTGCCACGTCAATCTTATCTGTGAATGACATTCTCAATAATTATCTTACATATTTGCTTCCTGCTATTGAATCATCTTTATATCCATTTTCCTAAACTATTAAATTATTCACTTACTCCTTGCAATTAAAAAACATATCCATTAATCTATATAAATAAATCGCCTTAAACATTATATTTTTATTTTAATTAAGCATGTGTATTCTTTGATGTATAAAGAAATCCTGTAAATGCCTCTTCTGTTTTGTTAAGAGCAACTGGTAATAATTAGAATGTTTTTGCTGATATCATTAATATAATTATTATTTATACACATATTTGTATTTGATATAATAAAAAATCAAGAATCGCCAGGCTTAACCAGAAATTTATATATTAAATTATCTATAATTATCTTGATGATATAATTAATCATTTCTTTTTTATCTATGATAATTTACCCCATCTTTATGCTAACTTAACAAAGTTACCCATTTTCTAATTGAAATTATTAGATTAAATAATACTTTCATAGTTGCACTACCATAAAATTCTTTCATCTTATTTTAAATGTTTGGAATTGATTTTGCTGTATTGTTTACTAACCAAGGATGTTTCATTATTTTTTCTGTTCCAAATCTCTTTGTTGGATCAACTGTTAAAAGACCTTTAATTAAATCCTTAGCTTTAATTATATTCCATAATCATTCTTACCTTCATTGCTAATACTATCCCAATATGGAGATGGAAAGGAGAACTACCCGGTTTTAATAATTTTAAATAGTTTATCATTATCATCATCATAAAAAGGTGGAAATCCACATAACCTATATGTTAAATTATATATCTACATAATATAAAGTATAACACCAACAGACCAAAAGTCAATTGCTTCTGAATATCCATGACCAGAAAGAATTTCAGGTGCTACATAACCAGGAGTACCACATTAAGTCATCATTACCTCATCATTTGTAACAAAACGAGCCAATCCAAAATCACTTACTTTTAATAATGCTCCAGGTTCTCTGCTTGAATATAGTAAATTTTCAGGTTTAAGATCTCTATGTACAATTCCCATTTTATGACAATATGTAAGAGCATCTATAATTGGTCTCAATGTAGCAGCAGCCTCTTTTTCACTAAAATGATCTTTTTCAACTATTCTTTCAAAAAGCTTGAAGTTTTAATTTAAATTATTACTTCACCTCCAGTCATCAACTCTAATACCATATAAAAATTGGTATCATCTTCATATATTTCATAGAGTTTCACTACATTTGGGTGATCAATCTAGAAGTAAATAAAACATTATACTTAGGTCAGAATTTCAACTTCAGTTTGTAAGGCTTACAAGTCTTCATTTGATAAATTGTCTCTAATTTATAATCACTCAACAAATTACTTATTGATGATTTTGACAGCATACATTTCTCCATTTGACTTCTTTTTTGCTCTCTTCACAACTCCAAAAGCACCTCTAATTTATAAAAGACTATTGTTTACTCTCCTAAAGTCTTCTCTATTGTATATACTTTTGTAATATCTTCATGGCCTTGCATTTTTAAAAATATTTATGTTTATTTAAAATGTCATTATATTCATATAGGTGATTTCTAAAACAATTATTGAATAGCTATCTATATGACAAAAATGAATCTTAATTAATCTTAATTAAATTATATTGATCATATATTTGGAGGTTTAAGTTACAAAAATAATAATATATTTATAAATGGATTAAAAAGAAAAAGAAATTGATGAGGAATAATTTAAAAAAGAATTTGAAGAAAAGGTTGAAAAGCGTAAACAATGGTTATTGGAAGAATTAAAGAGCTGTGGAAAATTTTTAGATGTAAGTGCAAAGAAATTAGATGATCTAGATGCTTTGACTGTAAAAAATCTATTTAAATTAAATATAGATTGCTCTCTATCTTCATGAATGCCAAACAGAATTAACAGTATTTCATATTGGAGCTAATTAAATAACTGACAGAGGATTTATCGATATGTTGACAGGATTACAATGGCATGATAAATTAAAGGAAATCTATATTGGGAATAATGAAATTACTGAAGTAGCAAAATTGTGACCTATGTCATTAGATTGGTATTTAAGGTTTGATAGAGATTTCAAGTAGTTTCAAATAATTGAAAATTTTGAGTATGAGTTCATGTTCCATTGATGATTCAACCTTCATCTAACTTTGTTATGCATTACCAGAATTAATAAATCTATAGTAATTATAATTACCAGCAAATAATATATCAGATTATGGTAATGAAATAACTATATTTTATAGGATTGGTATGCTTTTCCACATTATTGGCAACCAATAGTCTTCCAAATCTTACAGTAGTTCATTTTGGCAATAATCCATTGACATCTAAATCTCTAGTCCCATTCTTTTAAGCATTGAAGAAAAATAAAACTATTAAAATTCTTTATTTAAATGATATTGGAATGGAATTGGCAACTATAAAATAAATGGCATGTTGTCTCAAGAAAAATAAAACACTTGAAGATTTGAATTTAGGAAACACAGGATTTTCAGATAGTGCTGCATCAATTTTATGGCCCAGTTTGAAGTATCTAAAGAAATTGTAATTGTGGAATAATCATTTAACTGATAAAGCTATTTATGAATTCATTAATGTTCTTGAAAGAGAGGACATAGGATTAACTTATGTTGGATTATAAGATAATGAGATTGAAGAATATGATTTGGTTGAAGATTTGAATGCTTTACTTAAATAAAATGAAATTATTGACAAATTGACAGAATAGATAGAACATAAAGAAGAAGTAGAAGAAGTAGATGAAGATAAATAAGTTAAATAAATGATTGAACTTGCTAAATTAGAAGAAATTGAAGAAAAATTAGGGGAATTAGAAAAACTTAATGAACCTTAAGAAGAGAAATAGGTTGTGGTTAATGAATTATAAGGAATATTAAAAACTAAGAAATGGGCTGGAGAGATTGAAGATCCTGAAGATAAAACATTGAAACACTCAGTAATGGAATGAAAATTAAGATTTAAATATTTTTTAAATAATGGTTATCAAGACAGATTTGTGCTCCTTTAGTGAATGGAGAATCTATCCCGGACATGGAAGAAGATTCGTTGCCAAAGATGGCAGACTCTTCTACTACTTGAATTAAAAGAGTAGAGCTTTTAGTGCAAGAAAAGTATTTCAATCATCATTATATTAAGATTAAATCATAAGAAATTCAATGGACTGTTGCTTGGAGAAGATTGAATAAGAAAATTAAGACAGATGAAGGAGCCAAGAAAAGAAGAATTAGAAATCTTAAAGTATAAAGAGCCATTGTTGGTATTTCATTAGAAGAAATCAGAAGAAGAAGAAAGGAAGATGATAGTAATACATTTCTCTAATGACATCTAGAAACTAGAAAGGCATAAGCTGAATAAGCAGCAAGAGAAATTAAGGACAGAAAGCAAAAGTAAATTGAAGCTTCAAAGAAGAAACCTGCTGCAGCTTAAAAAGTAGCACAAAAAGCAGAAGTTAAAGCTCAATAAAAAGCTCAAAAAGGTGCTGCTAAAGCTAACAAAGGCAAAAAATGATTTTACAATATAACACGTATACAATAATTGGATTATTCAGTTATTTTCTATGTTTAACCAATAATTTAATTTATATAATATTATGGACCCAATATTTTACACTTTTCTAGGTATAGGAATAGGATTTTTTGGATCTTAAATTGTTATGAATAATGTTTTAAATAATAAGTAGAATAAGAATCCATAATAGAATTAACCTACCAAGAAATTCATACCCTCAACTCCTGATTTTAAAAAGGTTTTTCAATAAAATCAAATCCCTTAATAAATCAAGGGACAAATTGAATTAGATGATTAAATTAGAAAAATAATAAAAATTTAGTCTACTCCAGTTGAATTGGATACAGATAGTTAATTTTCATATGCTTAAGATTAAGAAAATAATAAACCAAACCAATAAAATATTTCTGACCATTATATGTAACCTTAAACTCCAAATTTTTAAAATACAGCTCAAGCTAAACCCAATATTAAATTATTAGTTACTGATGACTAAATACAATAAATTGTCACATCCCCTCTAATTTTAAAATAAAATAAATTTAGCACTTCTTGTAAGTTTCTATTATAATAACTTAAGAAAATAACTATCCTTAGACTACCTAATCATTTAGCCATACTGAATCATCAGGATAAAATAGTGATAAAGATGAATGAGATAAATTTATATAATTTTATTATTGAGTTTTTTTAGTATTCTGATACTAAAATATTTATTGATGTTTATCATATAATTGACTTAATTTCAATATAAAATTAAATGATTCATCAAAATCTAGCCTTTGGTAATTTAATAACATAAAATCAACTGGAAAGGCTTGCAAAAAAATAAAAAATATTGCTTAAATCACCTCAATTGAAGAATGATAAAAAAATGAAACCTAAAAGGTTATTTAGATCAATTAGTTTCAAGACTGAACTATATGCATTATTATTATCAACATCTAAAAATAAGCCAACAAAGAGTTCTATGTTTTTGAAACCACCTATAGATAAGAATTTTTTAAAGAGACTCCCTTCTAAACTTAATCCATATGAAGCCTTGGTTAAGAGTGAAAAATCAATTGCCAGCACTTAAAGAAGAAGCAGTGCACCATATATCAAAATTATAAGGAGGTGGAGTTATCATGAAATATAAAGTGAAAAATAAAGACGTCTTAATAATAAAGTTCATAAAACTACCATTAAATATCATTATATAACTGCAGAAAAAGCTAAAAAGAAAAAGCTTAACCGATTGAGAATGCAATATAGTAATAAATTCTGTAATAATAGAATTCATTAGTAGACTATAAAAAAATAAAATTAAAAAACTTCGTAGTAAAACGCTCCCCTTGGCTCCATTCATTCGGATGAGACATACTAGAGCAAAAACGATTGCTGAAGAATAACATTAGGGTCCAATATTAAATTTAGAGGAGTAATTAAAAAGAAAGATAGATATACTTATTATGTTAAGAAAGGGGGCAATGCGAAGACATACTTGTTTTTAAATGCCAAAAAAGAGTGTATTAGTTTCAAAAGAAAAATTAATAAATTATTAAAAATAGCTTTCTCAATATTTAGTCAAAACATAATAAGAAACTGAAAGTTATGTTGAATTTTCTCCTGCTTTAGATTAAATTCGAGCATATCAAAGAAGAGTGAACTTTACTGATAGAAAATAATCATTAAAAATAGCTCAGCCGAAAAAGAAAAGCTTTATATCTGGTATGCTTAAGAAAAAATCACATAGTATCATCACATCCTATATTACTAATAAAGCAGTAACTTTGAATTCTGAATAGTAATCACTTATGTTAAAACCATTAAATTAATTGATTAAAAAAAAGACACATTTAGTTCATGATAAAATTGTAAATAATTAATCTTGGTCAGATAAAACTTTGATGAAAAGAAGACCAAATTTACTTATAAAATTATAACCTTATTTATCAAAATAAGAAATTGTTAAATGTTGATATATTGATATTATAATTATTTATACATTTCTAGCTAAATCATATGTTTGTTGAATATATTTATTAGAAATTGTTTGGTTTAGAATTTATTAAATTTAATATTTAAAAACGAATTATTATTAAAAATAATGCTTAGAACAACACTCAAATAAAAATTTGATGTAAAAGAAATTGAAGTAAGAATATAAGAATTTTATATAATTGTGTAATAATATGACAATTATTAAAATATAATATTTCATATTATAAATTGTCATCAATAGATGATATCAAATTAATTATTACTTGATATTATACAACTTAAATACAAAATTCAATAAGCCAGCACTTAATTATTATTTATAAATAATATATATGGGATCTTTTTTATCCCAACCAAATACCCAGAAATCCCATGAATATTAATTTAGTGGTTATTTATCATGTTATACTACTGCCATGCAAGGTAAATAATTAATATTAAACAATAGGATGGCGATTATAAATGGAAGATGCTCATCTGATGAAACCTAATTTTATTGAAAATATTTCTTTATTTGCTGTATTTGATGGACATGGTGGTTCTGGGATTTCGAAATTTCTAGCTGATAATTTCATGAATGTGCTTATCTCTTAACCTGCATTTGAAAAAATGGATTTTATGCAATCACTTCATGACACATTTTTATAGCTGGACGATATGATTAAAAATAATGAAATCAAAAGTATATATTTTATAATAAATCAAAAGATACATTTATAGGTTCTACTGCTGTCGTAGCATTAATAGTAGAAAAAATGCTTTATGTAGCCAATTTAGGAGACTCTAGATGTTTATTGATGAGAGATGATGAAACCATTGAACTAACTAAAGATCACCTTCCAAGCAATGAATTGGCGCGAATTAGATATGCTGGAGGCTTTGTTGATGAATAAGGTCGTCTAAATGGTACTTTATCAGTTTCCAGAGCTTTTGGTGATTTTGAATTCAAGCAGGAACCTTTACCTGCTAATTAGTAAATGGTTATAGCAGAACCTGAAATCAGGAAAATTAAGTTAAATAAAGATGATCGGTAATTTACTATAATCTAATGTTTATTAGTTTTCTCTTTTTGGGATGCGATGGTGTATTCGAAACCTAAAACAGTTATAAAGTGATGGAGTTTATCTCTGCACGTGTAGCTGAGAAACAAGAACCTTCCATTGTTTTGGAACAATTACTTGATACTTCTTTAGCTGCTGACACTTCTACTGGATATGGTTGTGACAACATGACTGCTATGCTAATATTATTAAATTAATGAATGTAATCATTACCTTTAAAATAACTATTCATTCTATCATTATTACACTATTATCCTTAGAAATATAATCTAATATCAATTTATTATTATTATTTCTATTAAATAATTATTTATTAAATATATTTCTTAAGTAAAATTAACAATTTCAATTTGACAAAATAATTCAAGACCTATTTCATTTTATAATATATGTATCATTTAAGAATTTAAATAAAAAATTATGGTAAAGTGTTTATGGTGTCTAAAAGAACTAGGTATTTTTGGAATGCTTTTTCATAAAGCTGTATGCCTTGAATATCTATTCAGCAAATCTTTAGAAAAATTAAAATAAGCTAAATTAGCAGGGTTAATTACTAAGGAATAATATCTAAATGAGAAACGAAATTTAAGAGAATATTTTATGTCGAGATTCAAACCTAAAGTGTATGAAGCATTTATTAAGAGATAATAAGAGCAATAATATATTGTTATTAATCCAAATGATTTATCTGTTGCCTTAGAATCTGATATAGACATGATTTCAAAAAAAGTATGTATTGGAAGTTAAGAAATTTCATAGAAATCATAATTCTTTTAATCATTTCAAAATCCAATAGAACATCATTATAATTATATGACAAACGATTATTCAGAATATTAAGATATCTAACTTATATTCAAATCTGATGATAATCATATTAATTAGATAGAATTTAATTAGCAAGATGAAAATAGCATTTATTAATTGGAAATCCATAATATCGGAAATACTCATTAATAAATAGATTTATACGATAATTCACAGGATTAATTTGTTCAACTTCAATTCCAATAAAACCATATTTTATAGTAAAGCTAAGAAAATTAAGAAGAAGAGGATAAATAACTAAATGCTTCTCTTGAGATAAATGAGGAAGAAAAAGAAAATGTTTTATTTAAACTACTTCAACAAAAAGTAGTACCAAGTAAAATAAAAGAATTTAATCAATCTATTACTAAAAATATAAAATAAACTCATACTAGATCAAAAAGTAGAAAAATTAAATAGAATTCTAATGTTTTTGAAAATAAAGGAGATATAAGTAAACCCTTTTAATATCAAGAAGAACTAGCCACTGAAATCAAATAATTTAGTGATAATTTTTTATAAACTAATAAAAAAAATCCTCCTAAATTTTCATAAAGCACGGATAAAATTAACCCAAAAATTAATCAATCAATTGAAATTTCATCTAAAAAAGAACTAAAGAAAAGATAAAAAAAGAACAAAAATTTTATTTAAAATAATTCTAATAATCAATTAAAGAAAGAGGATCAATAATATAATTCTGAATAACAAGAAATTATAAAGACTAGATTTTAGGCTTCATTAGATATTAAATAAAATAAAACAAAGTCAAAAAGCATTAATAGAAGAGAATAATAGAAAATAAAAAAGAAATGAATCATTAAATTTTGTATTATTCCTATTAAAATAAATTTAATTTTGATACATTAACTTCTTTAAGTAATGAGCATTATTAAAATTTAAACCTTATATTAATAGATTAATCAAAAGTTAAACTTTTCATCACTCATTTAAAATAAATTATCAAATTCCATACTCCTTTTACTTGCATATTATTAATCGAATGAATAATCTACATCAAGTAAATTGGCTTCTCCTCTATTATAAAATTAACTACTATTAATTGAATGATAATCAGTATGCTTTGAATTCTTACTTCTTTTTTAGGCTGCTAATTAATAATGTTATATCATATCAGCAACTTCTTAATCAAATTCTAACAATCTAAGAAGTTCCAATTCTAAAAATGGATGTTGCAATTTAAATGACATAAGTCTTTTAAGTTAAAATTAAAATTTATGTAATGGAACCTAATCTTCTTAAATTTCTGGAGTTTAAGTTTCATCATCCTATGCTTATTATACTTAAGGAATAACAATTTCTTCACAAATCTCATGATTATCTTTTTCTTTTACTTTTAATGTAGTTTAAAATTCTTCTTAAATAAATGAAATTTTAATAGGTGTTTTATCTAGAATTGATTTGAGAAATTTTATCAAATTTAAAATTGTAGTTGATTCTTTGTTTGCTATTTTAAGCACATCTATTTTGAATGATGCATCCAATTTTTAACAATAAAACATCACAAGATTTAAGGATTCCATTTTTTAAACAATTGAAGAGCTTTTTTTAAATTAAGGAACTTCTATTTCTGGGAAGTATTTTCTTAATAAACATAAGAAATGCCTTCCATCTGAAAGGCTTTCAATATTACTTGCTTTCATTGATGGACATTTTTCATTTACCCACCTTAACAATTCTAATCTAAGACTCATTTACTTCGAAATTTTAAGAAAATAAATAATTACAACTATTTTTGAGTTAAATAAAAACTTTAATATTAAACAATTTTTCAGTAGAAATATATAATGTTTAATTAAATATGAATAAATAATTTATATAGTTTGATTAATAACTTTATATCAAATGTTATGATTATAAAATATTAAATTATTATTGAAAAATTGATAATTTAAAAAAAAAAACTTAAGAATTATAATACTAATTATTCATTTACATCTTTTTGATGGACCTCTAATTGTTATATTAACTAAACAACAGACTAATTTAATAACATGATCAGAATTATTAGCAAGCATTAATTTTTATTTGTGAAATGTTTTTCCATCAACTTAATTTAAAGGTAATGTTTCTTATAATGCACTGTCACAATAAACTTATCCTGAATATCCCTTTTTAAATCTTACATGCTAATATTAATAATTATATTTACTAATTTAACTGAATTATTCATTTTGATTGGACCTATAAGTACTAATGGATTTATCCACATTTCAAATGATTAAAAGAATTTTCCTTTTGCATTTTACATTGGTCTTATCTTATCTATTCTCAAATCTCCTTCACATTTATGAATATAACAACCAGGTAAAGAATGTAATAAATCTTTAAATTCTTATGTTTAATATTTCTCGTACTTTTTGGCTTCTTTTCTAAATTACATTCTAGCCCAACATTATTTTGTATTAAATATAGGTTAATCTATAGTTTATGATGGTCTTATATATTTAGTTTTTTCTTAATATAATTCAGTTTATGCTGGTTAAGGTAATTCTTATATTCTTTCTTATTTTTTAGTTTATTTATATTTTCTTTTAGGTGCTGGCATAATTGATTTCTTTTTTCTACCAACTTTTTTAGGTTTTGTCTATTTTTTATTCTTTTATTATATAGGATTCTATTCAGTAATCGAAATATTTTATTATTCTTCTTCATTTAATAAATTATCATCTATTTAATTGTCATAAATTTCAGGTTCAATTATTTATTATTTTTTATCACTTTAAAATAAATATTTTTTTTCTTTTTCAAACTAATCATCTTATTATTATTCATTTTATTGCTAATATCTTTATATAATGGCTTCCATAAAAGACTTTTAACAATTTGGTGTTTTAGGTTGATCTGATATTGATTACCGCGAAACTTTTTAAATTGGGAATTCACAAATTATAGAACTCATATTTATCTTGAGTTTACTATTTTTAGGTTAATCTTCATGCTGCTTGTCAACATACCAAGTGTTTCTCTTCTATTTTCCTATTTTGTCATCAAATTCTTCCCTAATATCGTTTGCACTAGCTCTTCTATTATTTTGTGGTTTTATTGGTTATGGAGCAGCAATTTATAAGATTTTATCAATGTCCTATTCCAATGAATGAGACAACCATGAGATATCATTATTTTGTAGCCATTTGTTTGGATCACTAACAATATCAAAAATATATATTTACTATGACGAACAAGGAGATGGATACATAGAGCGATATACCTTCTCTCTAAATTTATTATCAGAATCGTCTTATTTTACTTTTTTTCCGAAAGATGGTCTCATTTATGTATTTAAATTTAATATTTAACTTATTTCTTATTTTAACAAAAGTCATAGTAAAGTATACATATTCATTTTCATTTTTGATATATTTCAAATTCTGACACTTATCTATTGTTTATGATATTTGTTTCTGAAATTTGGCACATATTCATTTGATAATTTAAATTTTTTTCATCAATAATTTATTAAGTCTATTGTATAATTTCCAATATGTCTAGTCAACTTCTTGCATGTGTTTTATTCTTAAATTATATTCATTAACATTATATTTGGTTCTTGTCTATCATTATTTAAATCCGAGGCTTTTTTACTTAAATTTCAAATTTTAATTTAACAGAAAATTAATTCATTTCTATTTATTTTTTATTTATCTTTCAGTTTAATAATTTTTATTTTACTCCAATCTGATCTAATCTTTAAAGATATGTAAAGAACTTTATTACTATACTTTTTTTCTTTTTAGTTTAGTCTTTCATTTTCTTTGATGTCATATTTTATTTGATTCAGAATACACTAATATAGATATTTCTTATAAAAATTATAAGAATTTGTTAATAATTATAGATATATTCAATTTCTTATTGCTATTTCTAATTTATCATATTTAATTTCTAAATTTTTTCAATTTTCTTATATTCTTTGAGAATCACTCTAAGTTTTCAGTTGTATATTATATTATTATTAATGATAAACATCTAAATTGTATCTCACAATTGTGATTTTGTAAAGTTTATTATCTTAACTACTTCAATAAAATAGATTGATTATTTTCCCTTTATTTATAGATGGAATAATCTAGTTTTAAAGATAGTAAGATAAATGGACAAGGAGTAATCTCTTAAGACCTAATATATTAGAAATAAATTGATTTAAAAGTATCTCTATTAATAATTAAATTATTTTATGGATTAAACATCTAATTATCTTAAAATTTGGGGTTTACCACCAACAATTAGCGAGAATGAATTATTACAGAAGATTAAAATGATTGGAAAAGTGATTAAAAATAAGTAAGTAAATAATGTATGGTACCTAATATTTGAGGATGAGTTGGATAATGATAGTGTATGATAAAATATCCATTTGATAGGTTGAGTTTTTATAAAGCAGCTATACATAATTGTAATATATAATTGGTACAGAAATGACACCTTAAGACATTTAGAAATTTACATAAATATTTTCATCAAATGATGATGATGAAAATTAGAGAAAAAGACTTGAATAAGAAAAGCTTTAGGAAATAACTAAAAAGTAGTAAGAAGATTTAAGATAAAAATAACTTCAATAGCAATAAGAATTTTTAAGATAATAAGAAGAATAAAGAAAAAAATAATTAAAAGAAAGAGAAGAAGCATAAAAAAGAGAGGAAGAGTTGAAATAGAAATTATTAGCTGAGGCTAAGCAATAAATAGAGTATTAATAAAGATTAGTAAATAATATATATATATATTATTTTTAGTAATAGTAGAAAGAATAAGAAGAAATACAATAAAAATAATAATAGGAATTACTTTAATAGTAAAGAAGAGATTAATAGATATAGTAAGAAGAATAATAAAGATAAGAATAATTAAAATATGATTAATAAAGATAAGAATATCTGAAGTAAGAATAATAAAGGCAAGAATTGTTAAGATAAGAGTAATAAAGATAAGAATTATTAAGACAAGAATAATAAAGATAAGAATTATTAAGATAAGAATAATAAAGATAAGAATTATTAAGATAAGAGCAATAAAGATAAGAATAATAAAGATAAGAATAATAAAAATAAGAATAATAAAGATAAGAATAATAAAAATAAGAATAATAAAAATAGGAATAACTAAGATTAGAATAATTAAAATAAAATTAAACAAGATTAGAATAACCCTAATAAAATTAATAGTTCAATTATTAATCTTTGGATTAATAAAAAGAAAAAATAAAAGAAGAATTAGCTCTAGAGTTCGCTAAATCTTAATTTTAACAAAAACAATAGGCTGAACAAAAATAGTTGGAATAAAATAAGGCAATCTAAAATTTGATAAATAAAATAAAAGAAACTGAACAATAATAGTAAAATTTAAAAGATTAATGCACTTTCTAATAAGAAACTTCAAATAAGTATTCAAAAGAAATTTAAGATTTAAAAACTTCATTAAACCATGTTACACAATAGAGAGACAATGTTATTGCTAAATTTAAAGAATTATAATCAAACTAAGGTAGTACAGTCACTTAAGAAGATGTGGCCTTTTTAGAATAACAATAATAATAATAGTAGCCATAATCTCTTTAGAATGTGTTGTTTAAATTTGAATTTTGGGTTGTGTTATTAGGTGCTTGGGTTTTAAGTTAAATAATAAATTTCTTCACCTGATCCTGAAATGATATATGAATTATCAAATATTAAGTATTTATTAATAATGAAACAGTAAAGAGATAGTCTGTTTTTCTAATCATAATTATATGTTGCAGAATTAAGCGAACCATTGACAATATTGTAGTTTTTAGAAAAAGATGAAATTGAAAGTTAGAAACAATCAAGTCATCATGATAAATTAGAAATCTCAAATAAAAGTGATAAGAAAGAGAATTCAAACAAAAGTAGGCTTTAGCTGTAATAATCTAGTTTATAGTACACAGAGAAACAAAGAAAAATCCTTATGGATCTGGTTGGGCGAATAAGGTATTAGAAAAACAATTCGGTGTTCATTTATAGTAAATTGCATAAAGAACAGGACCAAAATGGATTATAAAAAAATTAAAACCTGTAGAAACAAATGATTAAAAAGAGTTTGAACATCCTCGTTTAATGAAAGTACATCAGCAATTTAAATGATTTAGGATTTCTTATCTCAGGAGAAGAAAATTCGATAAACAGCCTCAAAATCTTATAGAAGAAGAATTGAAAAAAATGTTTAAGAGTAAAAACAATCTTTTAATGAGATTCCTCTATTTGATCCAAATTTCTAAATAAATTTGCAGTAGTACAATTTATGATTATATTTAATAATTAATGGAACAACTTTAAGTTCTAATTTAAGAAAAATATAAAGGAAGTCCTCTTTTGATTGGATTACAGGGAATGTAAGGAGTTGGTAAAACAACTCTTGGAATTCAAATGAAAAAGTTATTGTCATAATTAAATATTCAGTTTGATAGTATTAGCATAGATGATTTTTATCTGAGTTATATTGATAGAGAAAATTTAGATAAAAGAAAGTATAAATATAGAGGACCACCAGGTACTCATGATTATCAAATGATAATTAAAACACTTAGTTAATTTAAGGAAGGTAAAAGTATAGAGGTTCCAATATTTGATAAAAGTTTGCATAATGGATAAGGAGATAGAGTAGGATAGAAAACAATAAAATGCTAAGTTTTATTATTTGAGGGATGGTTTGTTGGTTATAAAAGCAAATGTTTATATGAATTTAAATAAAAGGAAAAATTATTACAATTAGATGGAAAAGATTATGATTAAGATTTGGAAGTTTATATAAATGAATAATTGAAACTTTATGAACCTATATGGGAATAGTTTGATATATTAATTCAATTAAAACCAAATCCATTTGAATTAAGTTTAAAATGGAGATTAGAGGCAGAAAAAGAGATGAGAATAAAAACTGGGAATGGAATGAGTGATGAATAGATTGTTGATTTTGTAACATACTTTTGGAATTGTTTACATCCATTAATATATAATGATTTGATTTGTGATTTGGTTATTGAAGTGAACAAATAAAGATAATATAAAGTTTTATGATTAAAATTTATTATAAAATATATATATAAGTTTTCAGTATGGAATTTAACTTAAGAGTTGTTTTGGAGAATGGATTTCCTCCTCTTAATTTTGCATTGTATTTTCATCCTATAAGAATTGTTCTTACCGTGATGCTAATATTTGCATTTTCTAAATTGCTTTTAGATGATTTTTAGGCATCCTTAATTATTCTATCATATGATTCAAATCTTATAGATTGAGATTTGGATTTTGAACAAATTCTATTACTTACTTTGGACAGTAAGCAAGATTATGAAATGGCAGATAAGTAAAAGACATGTATTCGTTAAATATATATTTATAATATTATAAAAAATTGATCAAGGGTCAAATGAGCTATTAGGTATGTTAATTTTCAATTACTTTTTGATCATTCTCTAATTACTTTTTTAAGGTTTTTAATCCATTTAAGTTATTTCTATATGAGTTGAATTATTGAGTTGTGTTTTTGGTATTTATTTTTGTTTTTTTCTTACTATAAAGTACAATATCCCAAGTAGAATTATGGAAACTAATCCAATTAATATGAGTATTATGTAATCTTAGTCCATAAACTAATTTAATAAATAAAAAAAATGAAACTACATTAATGTTAAACCAACCAACCCAATAATGATATGATCTTTGGTCATAGAATTGGTACCAAGAAGATAATTGCAGATAAATAATAAAAAGTAAATTATTATATAACCAATTTAGGTAATCAAACATATTAGATAATTACCCAGAAGCAAAGAAGATAATTATTTTCATGAAGCCATTAAAGCTAATGAATAATATGACCTTTTTCTTGAAAAGTATCTATTTATCTTATCATCTATCTAGGATGAATACTTTTAAGATCCAATAAGCATTGATTTAAACTAAATAACGATTTTAGGATGATAATAAATTTGCCAATCTTTTAGAATATGTTCCTGAAGAAAAAGCAAACGATAAAAAAATTAAAAAAGAACTTGAATCTTATATTGATAGATATGTTACTATGAAAAAAGGACCTGCTCCAAGACATCCATAATTTTATTATTTTATTTGATTTATAAACACATTACTATCAAATTATGTTCAATCCCAATAGTATCAAAACTTTAAGGACTATGAGTGCATCTTCTTAACGTTCAACTTAAAATAAACTATTAATGGAAGAAATTGATTCTGCTATTTAAGACTTAAGAGAATGGAAAAAGAATGAAAATCTTGAATTGAAAAAACAACTTATGGAAAACTAACAAACTAAAAAAATCATCTATAAAAGTGGATATGAAATTGATGAAGAAGAAGAAGAAGATACACGATAAGAAGAATTATTATAATAATAAGCAGATTTAAATAAAAAATTATAAAAGATTAGATAAGAATATATGAAGGAATATCTTAAAATTCCAAAATATATGGCTAGTGAATAAAAGACTTAAGAAGTAACACAAAAATTATAAGAAAGCTCTCAAAGATTAGAAAATCTAGAAAACTATCCAATTAATTAATTAAATCTTAATAAACTAGATGATGATATCTTACTTAAACTTACTTAATGGAAAACTCAATTATCCGAATTAGATTAAATTTCATAAGAATAAGAATCTATTTAATAAGATCCATAAAATGATTAAAATGAATAAGTATCAGCTAATTTGAAATAAAAAATAAAATAAGAATTAGATTAATTTTAAAAAGATGAATAAAATATTTCAAAATAATAATTAGAATAATAAGAGTTTAATTAACATATTAAATAAGAATTGAATGATCTTGATAAAGATTTTGATGAAATAGATTCATTATTAAATTAATGCGGAATCAAGTGAATCATTTTTTAAATCAATTGAATATTTTAAATCCATCATCTCAAAAGGAACTACATTAATTTTTTATTCATTAACATTTTGTAAAAACTATTCATATTATTCTTTCCATTTTTTCATCATATTGTACCAACACTAAGTTAATATTATAAGATAATACATCTATTTATTCCCTCCTATTACTATAAAAAACATATTATTTTTCTTAATTCTTTATATTAACTAAAGTGAGTACTTTACCTTCCTTTTGGGCAATTTAAATTTTATACATTTTTAGATTGAGTATTTCTTATGGAATTTCTCCTTAATTGTATACTTTTTCACTTTCATAAATGTATATAGTTCCTTCAGTCAAAATTAAAAAGCAATCAGATGATAAAAAAGTTCCTTATACTGCAAATTTATCTTTTAAATAAGGCTCCATTGATAGTTTTATTGATATTAATCATTTTTTCTTAAATTATTTCACACTTATATTTTAGACTTGTTTTTAGTTACTTTATTAATTAATTCTTTTATTATTCATGGAATAAAAGGTATTACATTTAGAAATTAAAGAAAGTGCTGATTTTCTTTCCTATGGCTATTCCAGCTTCTGGAAAAACAGTTTTATTTGAAAGCATAGAATCATATTATAATGAAAAACATGAAGGCAAGACAAAATTGTTTATTGTATCAAGTGATTAAGTATCATTATAATTGATGAATGAACACATTGCTGTTAATCCAAATGTTACTAAAGAGGATGCTTATTAATAAACAAGAAAAAAATATAGAACAAGATATGATAATGAAATAAGGGCTGTATGCTAAAAAGCATAAGGTATACATTTTGTATAAAATCTTTAAGCTTGTGAATAACAATTTATAGTTATCATTTTTGATAAAAATCATCCTGAAAATGCTTTGAAAGGTCCTTTAGACATAGTTAAAGAGTATTTTAAATAGTTTACTTCAATTGGATTGATACCTAAAATTGGTAAACCACTTGGAAATAATTTATTTTCAATAACTTATTTAGTATCGTGTGTTTAAAGAGCAATTAAAAGAGAAAATCATGAAACTTTAGTTGGAAATAAAGAAAAAGTAGCATCTGTAGTATTATTTTTTTTCTCATTCTTTAACAAAGTTTAAGTAATAATATATCAATTATATATAGATTGATAAATTACCATTTAATAAAGTATTTTATGTTCCTTTTACAAATGAAGATGGATAGATGGATTAAGTGCTTAGAGAAGAAGCTCTTGAACTCTTAAAAATTATTTAAAGAGAAAAAAATCCAGAAGATATTTTAAATAATTGTTAAGAAGCTCTGTAGAAATTTATTGGAATTTGTGAAAAATATAATTTAGGATTTCCTGATAAGAATTTGTAAAGAGAAATTGTATGGAAAGAGATATAAACAGTTGATCAATGATATATTACAATCATAAATATTAAAAACATAATAATATTATTGTTAAATTTTATGATAGAATATAAAAACATAGAAACTTAAAATATTAATATTTATCCAGATATTGAAATTTAAAGTAGAAATTTCATATATTTTTTAGATAATTTAATGAAAAGAATGCTTTTAAAATAAATATATCTTTTGTAATTTTTTGATTTAATTATATAAGACAGTTCATTTATTGTTATATTGAATGATGCTATAAGGTTAAAATATAATGAATTAAGAAATATTGATATACTTGAACATATTGATAGTAACATTAATTATTAAGAATGACGTTTAGATATTTTAAAAATTGATTTAAAAAATCAAGAAATATTTTAAAAATTTAACATATTGATAGTCGCTTTGAATTTTAATGAACTCAAATAAAAATAATTAAAATTGCAAATATATTTCATAATTTCTTTGTTTTATATTTTAATGATGAAGAAATTATAATATAAAATTATTAATTAAATTTTAATTGTTGAATGCAATAGTCTACAGATATTGATGTTTAGAAGATGAAAGCAAAATAAGATTTATAATCTGTAACATATTTGGCTTGAATAAGATATTGTTATTAGTTTCTATATTTATGGGATTTTGCTTTTTATTTAATTCAAATGTTTGTTTTGGATGGGATTACAAAATTATTATAGTTTATGCTTGTATAACATAATTTGCCTTTATGATTTCAAAATTACTCTCAAGTAAAGGGTACATCTGGTACAATATTAAATTAGGATTAATTCATATTGTTGTTTTGCTATAATTGAAAGTACATTATTAATTACTTATCTAATGGGAATAGTATATAACAAAGAAGTTTCTCCAATAAATATCAACTTTATTAGTTATACTCTTCTGATATTATAATTTGTGATATTAGCTATTACAGTTCTCATAAGTAGATAGAGTTTGGAGAGTGAAGGACATGATTAATCTTAGCAAATATAAGAAATAGTACTTATGATATGATGTTAGTTAGTTTCAGCAATTAAGTGTATAGGTTCATTATAAATTGTTTTCTTAAGTTTGAAATGGAGTAATTAAATTAATTGGTGCTGGATGCAAACCTTAGTTATCATATGGTTTAGCATAGGTACTTTGATATTGATTGAAATATGTTTATTTATTGATTTTTTAATGAAGTGTTGCAATAATTAATTAGAAAATAAAAAACAAATAAGTAAGAGTATAATAACATAAGTTTATGGTAGTATGTTGGTTAATATAATATTCATTGGTATTATATTGACTTCTTTGTTAACATTTTTGGGATTAGGATTATTGTTGGATTATTAGATTTCTTCAATTAATTTGGGAGGATTAATAGTAACAATTATATATTACATAATGGAATTATGCTTTTATATAAAGAATAAGGAAGATTTAATGTAAAATTAGTCATTAAAACTAGTTCATTTTTAAGTATTTCAGAAAATTAAACTTTATCTTAGAGTTAAGAACTCAACAATGAATAAACAAGTTTTAAGGAGAGATTAAAATAAATACATAGATTAAGTATAAACTAAATTCCTTAATTTATGATAAAATTATCTGCTACTTATTATAAGAAAAAGGAATTAATAGATTCTAAAAAGCAATAGATTGGTTCAGTATTGTCTTAAGATAAGAAATATAGATCAATTAGTTTTTCAGAGATTAAGAAAAACAAAGATATTAAAAAGTAAGCATCATAGGATTATGATGAAGAATTAACAAAAAGGTTTGATCATTTAATGTCATCTCCTCGATTAAAATTAGAAGTTAGTGAAAGTATGGGTGCAGAGTTATCTAGTAGAGGACAACTTAAATAGAATTAATTATGTTTAATTTGTTATGAGAAAGAAAGTAATATGATTAATTAGCCTTGTGGTCATGGAGGATTTTGTTAGGAATGTTCATAATAAATGTTGTCAAAGAGTAATTTGTGTTTATTGTGTAGAAAACCAGTCACTCATACATTAATAGTTTAAGGAGTTGATAATCGGGAAAGTTTAGTTGAGGTAGTTGGTATTTTATAAGGTGAAAAGAAGTAATGATTATTAAATTGCTTTTAAATAATTTTTATAATATATGAACAACAATAGTAATATATTCAGACCACCATCATGTCATAAAGTATAAACTCCTTAGTTTGCTAAAGAATAGTAACAACCAAAAAATGCAAAAGGGAGTAATAGACAAGTTTTTAGAAGTATTCCATTATAATGTAAAAAATAGTCTAGACATTTAAATTAAGTCCAAATTTTAAGAATAATCTAAGTTAAATGCCTTCTACTTAAGATAGTACATAAATAATTAATTTTAGCATTGGAATAGAAACTAGCAGATCAGACTTCAGAAATAAAATTGCTTTAAAATCAAATAGCAGAGTTAAAGAAATAAAATGAGTTATTAGAATAAAGATTAAGAAAGGCAAATTCGGTAAGTATTAAATTAATTTTAGACTGTTTCTGATTATTGGATTAAAGTTAAAGATACATAAACAAAACTTCAACAAGTGTCAAACAAATTTCGAAGCAGCAGAGAGAAGAAAAAAATGTATAAAAGAAGAATAATAGATGCTTTGAATTACTTTTATGGTCGATATACAGATGCTTAATGTATGTGAAATCATGAAAATAGAATAGAATGCTCCATTTTTATAATTAGAGGAACTAAGATAAATTTTACTACAATTAGGAATGCATGAATCTATTGTATAAGAAATGCAATATTTAAATCAATAAGCTTAAAATTAGTTGAATGTAAATATTGACAATATGACTTATGAACAAATTTTAAATCTACAAGAGAGAATTGGGTAATGATATAATTACTATTGTAAGCAATTAGAATGTAGGATTAACAAAATTATAAATAAAAGAGATTCCAAAAAAAACAAAAGAAGCAAATGATAATGTGGAAGAAATGTAAAATATATTTATTCTATATATTTATAGCTGCACTATTTGCTATGATCAAATATAAACTGGAAATATATATAGATAATTACCATGCAATCACATATATCATTCAAAATGTATAAAAGCATGGCTCTTAAATCATAAAAAATGTCCAGTCTGTAATATAGAAGTGATTCTTGGTTCTGATTAACATGAGGATCATAATCACTAATAAACATAATGAATTAATTATATGAATTATTATAAAGACTTACAATAAATTAATAATCTTTATTCAAAAATTGCCATCTTCATCTTCATCTTCTACTTTTTTTGCAAATTCCATTTTAAGATCTTTATAGAATTAAGTTAGATGAACATTAGTTATAGCAACACTATTAGATATTGATTTAGGTTGATTAGATTACACTGGCATCACATGAATTATTTTATTTTTCAATGCATTTATATATTGTATTATGGGATATGTTATATTGTCTGTGTTATCTAAACAACAATCAGTAAAATTAAGAACTAAAAGTTAGATTCGATCACTAAAGTAATTGTTTCCCCACCAAAGTTCAACTTCATCATCAAAGTTCTTATCCATCAAACAATTCAATATAATTGTAGTTTCTACAAGTAACTATGAATTGAAATCACAATAAATTTACTTAAATCGTTTCTTTTTATATAAATTCTTTATTAGTAATTGTATCAAGATTGGAATTTATATAATTCGCATATTCATTTCGATAATAATCTAGTACTATAGATTTTATCTTCAAAGCTTTTTCAGTAAAATGATTATAGCTTCGTATTATTAATTATGATTTAGCCTCTATTCTATCAGCCAAGATTTCACATGAATCCATCTAAATTTATTATTTCTCAATTTGTTCAGCCAAATAAGATTTTATTGGTTTAGTTCTCATTATATTAGACAAAGAGCTGCTTTCTATAAATTCAATTGCTTCTTTACTGGTACTCTAACTTTTAAGAATGTACTCTTGTTTTTTTGTTTCAATTCTTTTATCAATATGATCATCTTTTTGTTTAGAACATGAAAATCCCATTTTATATAGTATTGATATTATTTATTGTCTTTTAAATCAAATTTATCCCATGTAATCCCATAGGTTATCTTTGTCACTATATCCAGGTATGGCATATTCATGTAAATTTGGAAGAAAGTTCTCTTATGTAGTTTTGAAGGGAGGAAATATTTTATCAATTGTTAATCTAAATGCGTCATCTAAATCTCATTTAATAGGTTACTTAGCATTCTTGGTATTAATTTTTATAAAAGTGGACTACTCTCTTCAATACAAGGATTAGTATTGATTTCAATTAACCAAATATGACCATTTTTATCAACCATAAAATCATATCCAAATATTTCAAATTGGAAATCCTTGCGATCTAAAAATTAAGGTACATATATCAACTGTCACGCAATTTAGAACCAGCACAATAAATTGTTTGATGAATCAATTCTTTCATTTTAACAACAATTCCAGCTGAAGTAACTTTAGTATTTCTCTGTTAATTTAAATAATGTTATAAATCTTAAAAACTTAATTGATTTCCCAATTCATATTTCCCATAACCAGGATGATTTTTTTATATAGCATTATTTGTTAAATGAATATATAAAGATTTTAGATTATTAACATCAAAATGTTCACTAGCTAAACGTAGATATCTATAATATTATATTTGTTCTACCCTTCTTTAAAAAAATAGTATTTTGATGTATGATCAATTAGTACCCAAATTCGAAAATCAAATTTTCTGCCATTATATAAAAGAGGTGTTTCTAAATACTTTTATAAAACTATAATACGATCATTACTAGTAGATTAATCTATTGTAAAACTTATCTAAGCTTAACCAGATTCTTCCTAAATAAATTAAATAGTTTACTTTCATTAGAATCTGGATATGTTATTGTAACTCCTCTTGCTCCTTTTGATGAACTTTTTGTTTTTTAATTCCCACTTCTAATTTTACAGAATTCCTCTACTTGATTTATAAACACTCTTAAATCAGAAAATAATTAAATTCCTCTTCCTCTATTAAGATCTGGTGGTTTCAGTAACCATACATTCTTTTAATTACCTTCTTTCTTTATTTAAATGAAAAAATCCACAAATTTTTTTAGATCCCATTAAAGTGTCATAGAATCCAAATTTATTGAAAATGTTATAGGTACAAAATCATCCATATTCTTATTAATTCTTTAACAATGTATTTTGAGATTATCATGTAATTTATTTTTATTTGAAATTTCATGATGATGTTCCAAATGATTTATACATACTTTCTTCTAAGTTAGAGTAGAATAATTAAATCCTTTATTTGATTGTTTCCATATAAAGTTTACACTACATATAATTATCTATAACTTACTTAAAACTTGTCTATTATTCTGCAAACCAACCTCGTCCTTATAAGATTCTCCTAACCAAAGCACCGTTATTTCCATTTTCACAAAAGAACTACCTGTTTTTATAATTATCATTACAACATATTATGTTGCAAACGTATTTTTCAAAAAAGCAGTTCTTGGTATTCTTTACATTGATGATTAAGGTCTTTTTCCTTCTGCTTGACTACTAAGTTTACGCTTTTCAATTGATTATTTCCTATGAAATTGAGTACTGTTGAACAAACCAATCTTACTTAAACCTTCTGGAGTATGTTATCGAGGTTCCTTTGGACTGTATTTTAATTAAATAGGCTCCAACCTTTATTATTATTCATCATACCTATTATCTTTGAATTTCATAGCTTACAAGAACATATGATTATTATTTATATAAAATTATCACAAAAATATTCCTCACTAAACTACTTGTCTTGACTGTAAATATTCTTACAAATACTTCTACTCATACATAGGATCCAAAACTATATTAGGAATCTCTACATTCTATCCAGGTGCCACTGTTTATGGATTATAATTCCCATTAAAATATTCTAATTATCTAAACATCTTTTCATGCTGAATATAAGTTCTCAATCTTATGTTTTCTGAATGTAAAAATGCATTTTCTTATTCTAATTAATCTTGTCTATTTCTCAACAATTAATTCTCTGCTGTTTTCTATTAGCATAATTGATATAATGCATGATTTTATGTTTCTGGTATATCATTTCTTTATTACACTAATAAAGAAGTTATGTGTTATCTCTCTTCACTAATCTATTACAAATGATCCTTAACATTATGTCCTAAATAAGTCTAATTGTAATACTGAATTACTAATTTAACTTATTCTACAATTCAGAACATTCTAGTTCCTTTTATCTATAAAGCTCCATTAAATTCTAATATTTTTAATTCATCTCTTATTATTCTAAAGCATTGCTATCTACTAATGCAGTCAAAGTTTCCACTTCATCAACAAGAATTTAAATTCTTTGCAATAATTTCTACACTATGTCTTCTTATGGCATGAATCTGTTAATTTATTTATTAAATAAATATAAAAAATCACTATTGTATAATTCCATATTATTATTTTAGTGTTTCCAATAACCATGATGTTATTTATAAAATTCTAAGAATTTATCAAAAAGATAGAGAATGAATCAATTTGAATTAAATGAATATTTCTTATCTATAAATTATATTAAATTTTTTATATCTAAATTTAAATAAATAAATAATTTCATATACTTTCTAATTTTATATATATATATTTCATTCACTTCACAATCTTATATATGAATCTATTGATGTTTCATATATTTATACATACATACATACATACATACATACAATTTTAAGGGATACCTCCTTAATGTTAAATCTCAATAATAATCCTATAAAAATCGCTAAACACTAAATTTGAAGATTATATATAGTTTATTTAATAAAATCTTCTACTTTATAATAATATAACTAATTTGATGATTGTAATTTACTCCCTTAAGTTTAAATCATATTTTATTAGTAATGATGTTGGTAAAAAGGTTAAAGTATAATTTAAACTATTTTATTTCTTTAATAATTTTTGTTTATATCATTAAAGTTATTTGCTTTAATAAATTAGGAGTATTATAAATTTAATAACCAAAAAATAAATCTGACTGCTCTAAATTTATTGATTTTAATTAATATAAAATAAAAAAAATTAATTTATAACATAATTATATAATAGGAAGAAAAAATTTAAATAATATAATGCAATAAAAATAAGGATAGCATTTAAATTTTCAGATTTTTAAAATATAAATAAACGTTAACTTAATAATAAGTATACTTTTATTTAGATTATTGAGTTGTTGATTATCTTATATATTAAGAAGAACTAATTAAGTAATTGAGAACTATTGATTAATATATGTTGTAAGGATGATAATTAAACAATAACCTAGAGAATATTAATTAATTTTATTATTAATTTATCAAATAATAATTATATTTCTCCATGAATTCTATGAATTAGGATTCTCTAGAATATTCTGTTGAAAAACATTGGAAATATATTTATGTAGTGATACTCTTTTTCTCCTTATGTTCAGCTTCAGTTATACCGATAATCTACGTATATTCACCTAAGTGTAGACATCATCCAGCATAAATTATTTTAATATTATGTATGATCTTTTATATTTTAGGTATATTGGAAATGATAACATGTTATTAATGGTTTTTAGATAGTGTTCATTTTGAAGAGTTAATTTAATTTTTAAACACAATCATAGGTTATAATAAAATAAGGGAATATTATTTATTTGGTTAGGGTGAGATATCTGATTAAACATTATGTTCAATAAACCAGAGTTTAATAATATTTGGATTCTTAGCACAACTAAATTATTATGCAATTCTAACATTAGATTTTATACTTACATTAACTAAACCTTTCTTGAATACTAAAATGAAACAACTTTCATATAATTTATTTGTATGTTTAGTTACAATAATAATGTGTTATTTTGAGAAGGACTCTCTCTATGGGAATTGTAAAGGAATAAATACTAGAAATGTCTCTGACGTGTTTAAACTTTAGTTGTTGACAATAACTATATTATTAGTTATATCATTTTATGTAGGTTAAAAGGATCTTAATAGAATGAACAAAATCAATATTGATGTTAAAGAAAATAGGAGAAAATTATTTTACAATCATATAGTATCCTATTTTTTTAAATATATTTAGTACTTATTTTTCACTCTATTTATAATATGGAGTTTACCTTAATTAATAGCATTTCTAAGTGAATATGTCTTAGTACATTAAATAATGAATAGAATCTATATAGCCATAATGTTATTGCATCGTATCATTATACTTTTTACAGTTAGCAACCATATTATTATAGATCCGACTTCGAGAACCTTATTTTAAGAGTAGAACTCTACTTTTACTTGCAACAATCTTTTGCAAAAGAAAGTGGAAAGAAAACAAAGAGTATAATATGTTAGATATTTTTATAGTAAAAATGTAGATGATTGCATTATGGAGTAATGTTAACTACCTCTAAATAAGTTAGTTTAAGTTTAAACCAATTAAGAGACAGTTTCTAATATTTTAAGTTCAATTCTAAAAATTGTAAGTTACGATGAAAGAATAACTGATTTACATAAACAATGTAAATACAAGAAATAATTCACTTATTCATCCAATAAGAGTGATCAATTTTAAATTGATTAAGAATCTCCTTTATTAAATTCAATTAATTATTCATTAGAATTAACATTGACATTTTAAATTGAAGAATATGCTCCTGCAATATTTTAAGATATTAGAATGAAAAATGGTATATGTTATAAACAATTTTTAAATTCTTTAAGACTAGATTATAATTAAGATCAAATTAAAAATACTCAAGAATCTCTAGGTAAAAGTGGATCATTCTTTTTCTATACCTATGATAATGTTTTTGTATTGAAGACTATTACTTAATCAGAAATTAAATTAATTTATGATTGTATATTATTTATTTATTTAATTTTATAGTTTTGGAAGACTATTATAAATATATAATTAAAGATTAAACATTTTTGGCTAAATTTTATGGATTATATTCAATTAGCATAGAAGGTTTTTCCTAGATTCATTTATTACTTATGGAGAATATATTTTAAAAAATACCTCAAGAAAGAGTAGTATATGATTTAAAAGGAAGTCTTGTGAATAGAAAATAAAATGTCAAAATGAATTAAGTTGTTGATCTTACTAGTTCATATGCATAATATTTACCTTCAATGGGTGTTTTAAAGGATTAAAACTTTATTACATCTACAGATATATTTATATAATTGAATTAGCAAAATAGAGATACTTTATTTACTATTTTAAAAGATGATATTGAATTTCTTCTTAAAAATAATATAATGGATTATTCTTTGATTATTGCTATTTTTAATAATCAAATTTAAGATGAAAATCGAATATATTGTAATAGTAATAAATGCTATTGCTTTGGTCTCATAGATTATACATAAAAGTTCACTCTCAAAAAGAAATTAGAATTCTTTTATAAGTTTCATGTTAAAAGAAAGGGTTAAAAAATTTCATGTGTTGATCCATAATTTTATAGTTAAAGATTTCTTTCATTCATTAATAGTATAATTGCTATTAATGATTTGGCATGAATTATTAACATTTATATATATATATATTTTAGGATTATTAATTTTCTTAAAATGACAACCATTAATAAAGCTACTCTTGGAGGAGGATGTTTTTGGTGTATAGAAGCAGTATTCAAAAGAATTAAAGGAGTAAATGAAGTCTATTCAGGTTATGCTGGTGGTGCTAACAAAAATACTGCTAATTATAAAGATGTATGTAGAGGAGATAGTGGACATGCAGAAGTTGTGTAAATCACATATGATGAATCGAAGCTTAAATATTATGATCTTCTAACTGTGTTTTTTAATTCTCATGATCCTACTACCTTAAATCGTCAAGGTAATGATTAGGGACATTAATACAGATCAATTATTTTTTATCATAATGAACAATAAAAATTAATAGCTATGGATTTAATTAAAGAACTATCCAAATCTTATAAGAATCCTATTGTTACAGAAATTGTCTAATTTTAGGAATTTTATAAAGCAGAGAATTACCATTAAAATTATTATTATAATAATAAAAATGAAGGATATTGTAAAGTAGTGATAAAACCAAAGTTAGAAAAAATAGTTAAATTATTCAAAGACAAATTAAATGAGGAAATAAAATGATAATTATAATTATAGCTAAATTCAATATGCTAAAATATTTCACTTTCAATTATTTATGTTTTAATACTATTTAATATCTGATTAATAAATCTATTTTTTATATATATGTTATATTTTTATTACAATAATACTTAAATATATAATTAACTTAAACTCATTTGAAAATGAAAAATAATCAAAATATAATTTAATATTTTATAATTATTTTTAAATAAATATTTATTAGATTATCTATTATAATTAATCATCTATATTCAAATACATATGTAATTATGAATATAATCATGTTTATATAAACAATTTGTATATCTACAAAAATAAACATAAATAATATAGATAGAAATAACAATAAAAATTTAGTGAATATTCATTTCCAATAAGATTAGACATCTACGACAATTAAAGTCATATTGTCTTTTTTATAATTAGTATTTTTGGATGCTGCTTTGTCTAAGAGATATTATGCTAATTAATCTATTTCTTATCTATTCCAATTTTCAATCAATTTTTTTAATTCATCATTTTTAATAATCTAAATAATTTTATAATATTACATCCCAGAAACCATCAGATGCCAAAATCAAATATTTATCTTTTTAATCTATTTGATGTATTTTAATTTCAGGTATTGCAATTAAACCTGCTTATCTATGTTTCTTATCTCCAAATGCTCTTGTTACTGCTAATTCTCCATTAATTCTTGGAATTGAACTAAAATAATATATTTAAATACTGTCTATCTAAAATAGTTGCCATCTATTCAACTCTTTTAAATTCATCTTCTCTATTTAATTTATGTTCAAGATTCAATTTCTAAATTTCATATTCCTCATTAATTAAAACACATGCTGAATCTCCTAAATTGATTATATAAATTTATTTATTTTTATTAATGACACAAATAGCAGTAGAACCACCCTATTATTAGTTTTCTTCTTAACAATCAAGTATATGTTAATTCATTTTCTCAAAACTATTTATGATTGCTTTTTCTAAATTATCACTAAAATCATTTTCATCTTATAAATATTTATGTAAATTATTTTCGAGAATAGTTGATACAGAATGACCTGCATGACCATCATAAACTGCATAAAAGAATTAGACTTCTTTGTTTTTATTTAGATTTGGAATAGCAACAAACTTAAATTAAGATGATTAAGTACTCTATCTTCTTGATATTTTCTACCACACTTAAGTTAAGCCACATCAGCAACTGTCTTTCCATTATATGAAAATTATAAGGACTAATCACTAATTATTAATGAATTGAATAATACATAGGTTCATGGAAAAATATGTTTGTTTATTATTTCCAACCATCAGAAGAATGAGTACTTTCAGGTTAAACATCAGTAATGACAACATTTAACTATAACTTTGGTTTAGGTTTCTTTTGATAATTCATAATAGTAATAAAAATTATTGTAATTATATTATATTATCATTTTTGTAATGATTATATTTGATTAAATTTATATATCAATTTTAACTTATTCTAATTTTTCTTTCATGATTCTCATCTTCTACCTAACTGAATCTATCTTCAACCATCTCTTCTAATTAACTGACTAATTATAATTCATTTCTTCTAGCTTAAGTAGCAAAATTATATTCATTTTAGAAGGTTGCACACAATGCAGTTGCTTAATCCCAAAGTTATTAATTTCTTTATAGTTTTCCTGAAGCAGTTTAAGCAATGGCAGAATTAGTTCCAATACATTAAACCAAATGATCTAATTTATCTTATAATCTATCAGCTTAGGCAGATAATCTAGCAAGAGTTTAACCTATTCTTTCTTTTTAATCATTGAAGGCAGCAATTGATTAAGCATTTGAATCAGCATAATCATTATATGCTTCATGAATATTTTATTTCAAAGTATCTAATAATTAAGCAACTCTCTCAAGGGATGTTTCATCAAAATCCTTAGATGATGCCAATTAAGAGAAAGCATAAAGAATTGGAGCAAATTTAGCAGTTTCTTTAATACTAAATGATGTTTAGAGCATAACCTTTGAAACTCTACTAATTTCAGCGAAACTTCCTGATCCACTATAGATAGCAGCCAAAATATCTGAAGCTTCATCAATAGCATGAAGAGCATCTTCATAATCTCTTCCTCTCTTTTTAAAATAACTTGCCTCTTATTCAGCAGCAGTCATAACCATATTTAAATGTTTTTCTGCAGTGAATGTTTAATGTTAATTAACTTCTTATTAATTTGTAGCTCTGATTTTTGATGTTTAACAAACATTCAATTAAGCAGTAGAATCTCTAAGAATGTTTTTGGCATCTTATACTTCCTTACTTCTGAATTCATCCTCAGATTCACATTCACTAACTTAAGTTTAATATATTTCATCATGATTCACTTATTCAAAATTTACTGAATCTCTGAAATCTCTCAAAACATTTAAGATAGCATCTAATGGAGCTTTTGTTTAAATCTTAGCTTCAACTTCAGCCATAACTGATGTTATAGATCTCTTTTTGGAGTAATCAAATCTATTCTTGGATGCAGCAGCAGAGGCAACACTTAAGAGTAAAATCACCAAAAGAACTGTTCTCATTAATAATAATAATGTCTAAAAACCTTTTTGCTTTATCGTTTTTAAATCTGTTAAATCACTTATTCAAAATCTACAATTTCTGTTAGTTTACTAAAATAGAATTTAACATAATTTAAAATCAATAGTTTGTTTTTTAATGAGTATTTTATAAATGTTCATCAAATTAATTTAATCATTCCAAAATACAAGAATTATGTATTAATAACCTCTCAAAATTTACTTTGCAATTTAAGCTTTATCAATTGATTTATTATTCTTTGCTTTTTGATATTTTTTTTAAATGTAAATCATTTAACAAATCTTTAATCATGAAAATTACAAAGAAATCTTTATATTTTTATAGTAAATCTTAAATAACTATAATGTAGTATGATAACTTGTATCATTTGTAAAATTCATATATTATAATAGATTACTTTAAATAATATATTTTAATATTTATATTTATTTCATCTTGTAAATAGTTTTCCTTGTTAACTACAATTAAATTAACTAAATACTGTTTTCTGTAAAGCTGATATAATCCAGTTTGAGCCATGCAAAAATTGCAAAGGACTAAACTATAAACTCTTGGTCTAATTATGAAACACCATCTATAGTTCATTTATATATATTTTATACCTTGTGAATAATAATCCAGTCCAGGCAATAACGCATTATTAAAGAGTGTTAACTTATTCAACTGGTTTACGCATGTCTCCTATGTTAGCAATAGAAATTCCCCATTTGGCTAATGGAGTCCAGAAAAAGATTGTGAAAGGACCTTTTTCACTCATTATGAATTTCTTCATAAAGGCTGGCCAAAAATTCCATGCACAAACATATTGCTATAACTTTGGCACAATTCCAAACATGTGATTCAAATAATAAATATAAATACACTAAATGACAATATGATATATATAATAATTCATATTATTAATTAATGATAAATCACGTTGATATATATTATTTTACACTTTTTTCAGATCAAAAGAAATTAATAAGATTCATTATAAACATAAAAATTAATGGTAACTGACAAAATCTCACATTTTATTCATACTTTATTTTTTATTAAGAGGAAACTTTATTATGATTTATAATTATGAGATTTCAAATTTCAATATTGTTAATTTGTTTATTAATGAAAATAATTCAATAAAAATTGATATATGTGTTATATTTGAATCATATTTTAATAAAATTAGAATCTCATCTATAATTAAATTAGATCTATTAAATAATTTCTTTTCCTTATCATAATACTATTTTATAAGCTTCTTTAACGAATAGAAGTATAAATTTGATAAATTTTTATGGTTGCTTTCTTATTAAACTAACTGATTATCCAAAAATAAAATAGTCAAATTATTTTTTTAGTTCACAATTTATAATATTATTGAGTTTAATATTTAACTTAATATAATAGGTTATTCACATGATTTTATACATTTCTGAAAATTATTTTATTATTTTTCACCAAATTTTGTTTTATTTATTTTTTTAATTATTATTTTTATTAAGTTTATTAGCTATTTTATTGTAATGATTAGTATAATTAATATTGAATTATCTCTCTATTTGTTAAGTTATTATCATTATACTATGGGTTATATTGATATAATTTATATTTGTAATTCACAATAAATTGTATTTATTTAGAGGACATTTTGTTATAATTTATTAATACTTTATATATAGATATCAAATAAAGGTTATGTTTATATTAATTAATAATTATTCATAAAATCTATAGTTTATTTTAAAGTTATCTAATAATTGTAATTATTTATAACCTGAATTAATAAGTGCCTAAAAAAAATAGTAAATTAATGGAAAATAAGCATCCATTACTAAATTAGTATTTTGTTAATCTTATATGTTATTTTGGTGAATTCAAATAGGGCTCTGTAAAATTTTTATTTAGTAATAACGAAACTAAGATTTTAATTAATTCATATATATGAGAAGGTAACAAATCTTTTATTTTTAATTAACAATCAAAATATCAATTTATATTATGAAAAACATGATTTCTTACAACAAAATTGAATCTTCTACACTAAATTATGCTAATTTAATGAAGGGGGTACCCTTAGTTATGCAGTTTAAAGGAATCCTAATGAATGGTTAAATGAATATATTTTTTTTAAAGTTTTGTTTTTTACTCTTCAAAATTAGGAATGAAACAATATACTTGCTCAGGCTTATATACTGGTGTTGATGGTGAATGTCAACAAGTAACCATTATCTCAAATTCTGGCTCATTGTTAATAAAAGTAAGCATTTTATTGAAAATTTAAAAAGACTGTTCCAAACGACTAATAGATGGTGTATTTGCCAGCTGGTTCAATGGACACAATACTGTACTTTGGTAATGAAATCACAGAAAGTATATTTATTGTATATTTGTAGATCAATAAATGTATACACTGGACCTAGAGAATCCTGAAACACAAATTAAAGTGTCTTTTCTGTTGAGTTAAAAGGATAGTTAAGAACTATAAAATCAATTGAGAGGAAAGCAAGTGTTCTTTCGTTCATAAAATCCTCGAATATTAGCTTAGATAGCCCCAGGAATCTGTAAAAAAAGATACTTATATTAGAACTGATTTAAACACAAGACAAGGTTATGATTGAAAAAATAGCTACTTTCCCAAAATCTATGCAGGATTAAGCCTCAATTAGCCGACTTGTAAGAAATGTTATTTTATTGTAAGGGATAATTGAAATAAGAAGCTGATATACTCTCACTATTGAAAGAGCATGAACATTAAAATATAATTAAATTGGAAGAAATTGTGACTGACAATGAATGTGTGTCTATCATTTTGGAGAATTGCTAAGGAGGAGATCTCTTAAAATTACTGAATAAGAAAACAAACAAAATAGATATTCCTCTTGTTATGGTAAACTTACTCTCAGGTAATCGATTACCTTAATATTTAATTAGGTTTATAACACCTTCATGATTTAAACATAGTACATAGAGATATCAAACTTTAGAACATATTGTTTTTAGATACTTAAGATGGCAACACTTTAAAAATTGCTGATTTCGGTCTTTCTTGTTTTAAATAATAAATCCCATATTATAATCCAAGGTATGATTATTTATTAAATAATTTAATAGATGTGGAACTCCTGGATACACTGCTCCAGAAGTATTCGCTTAATAATGTATATATGATGAAAAAGTAGATATTTATAGTGCTGGAATAATCTTATATAATATGTACTTTTTCTGACTTATATTTATAGGTTAACACTTAAAAACCCTTTCGGTAATTCAAAAAACATGCAAGATATCATTAAAAGAAATATAAGTGGACTCTATGATGAAAATCATTTGGCAAGTGTAAAAATAAACAATCCTCTTGGATATGATCTACTTATTAAAATGCTTTAGAAGGATGCTCGTAATCGTCCTAGTGCTAGAGAATGTTTAGCACATCCCTTCTTAAATTAAGAAAAAATAATACTCCAGGATGATGAAAATTTGATTAACAATGAAAGTAAGAAGGGAATTCAAGTATCAAAACGTGTAAAGATTTGAATTTTGTGAATACTATCATTTATTCTCTTAAAATTTCTTAGGATCTAATTTCATCTTCATTATCTAATTCATCATTTTTAAAGAATCATCTTAATTAGAAAATGTGAGAGAACTGATGTTTATACTACATTAATACAATTGTTCTAAATTGAAATATAATTCTTAATTACATTAATAATTTTATAAGAATATTCTTTTAATATAATTATTTATTGATTCTTAATACATGGTTCAATTACTATATGAAATCATAATAATCAACTTGAAGTTCCTCATATTCATTTATATTTATTATAATCATTATAGACAATAGTCTTTTAAAAAAGAATCAAAATTCAAATCAGACTATATTCTTTCATATTCTTCAATATTCTATGTATTTGGATTCAATTTAATTCCCTACATATATTAATCAAATAAGAATGTAATAAAATGATTTATAACTTAATGTTAGATAAGAAATTAAAATCCTATTTAATTATTTAGTTCCTTTCTTTTTTGTTATTTAAATCCAAAGTTAAAGCCATATAATCAAAGACTTATAGTATTTTTGTTGATAAAATAATTGATTTTCTTTATTATATCAATTGAGATACTATTTTTCTATTTTCTAAGCTATGGCTTTACTTTCTTTGAATATATTTATTAAATACATCATTAGAAGGCTTGATATTTTAAATTTAATGTCTAAAATTTAAATCTCAATATTTTGTAAAAGAGAGTGTATGATAAATTAATTTTTGATCATATTGTATATATATTATAATATATTTTAAATAATCTATTTTTTTCATAGAATTTATCATAATTAGAACATTATCAATGGAAACATGAGCAAGATTTATGCATAAGTGTCTGTTGTGGTATTATTTGTGCTATTAGTATTATTAGGTGGAATAACTATGGAATTACATTTTTCACATAGATTCGAGGCACTATTCCAAGTATATGTTTTGAGACTAGAATCGAAACAAGTTGAAGCTGACAATTAATTCGAATCACCAACTACACAACCAGAAGCAGTTGCTACACAAATTGTAATTGATTTTTCATCAAAACTATATATTGGTTTACAAATTTATCCATTTGCTACAGTGGCACATGTATGATTAATACAAGATGTTACATTATTTTCATTTTGAGATGAAACTAAAAATTGACAAGTATTAAATTTTGATTTACATGCTACTCCATCAGAATTAGCTTATTCACAAGAAGTCATTAAAGCACAACTTCCATTATTAGGATCAGTTTTAGATGGTGTGAATACACAAATTCCATCTATTCCACCTGAATTACATGCAACTTTTGTTTTATATGTAGCACATTAACTTTTAGTAATGCAATATGTTCCATTTGAGATACATGATTAATTCCTTAATTTACAAATTTCTGATGTTACATCATAGAAATCTGAACAAACTTTAACTCTACATGATTTAACACCTTATACTTATCCTGATGGGAATGTATATATACACTCACCATCTGTGCCATAATAACATCCTTATTCTTTATATGAACTACATAAACCAATTTCATCACAATTAGTTCCATTTGTAGTACATTTAGTAGCTGCTTAAAATGCATTACATTTTGAATGACTTGTAATTTCTATAGCTGTTGCTACTGTAGCATCTGTACATTTCCTCAATCTACATTATCCACTTTACCAAAAACATACTCCATCAGTACCAACAGAACCACAACTGATTTCTGTAAGATAACCTGAACATGTAGTTTTTTCAATACAACCAACACCATCAGATATACATAATGTTGAGAATTGTTAACAGAGTTCTTTTGTTGTTCCATTACCATCACTACATTTAGTAAATTATGTACAATGAGCAGCACTATTTAATGTAGCAGCTACCCATCCACATTATCCATTAGTACCAATTTAACAACTAGTTGGATTTGTATATTTAGCACATGGTGCAATAGCAATACAATTATTTCCATTACTTGTACAACTTTTGGAATATTTATTACATTATCCATATGATACTCCATTAATATCAGTACATTTTGTATATGTTATACATTGAGATTAAAACCATAAACATGTATTGCCATTATAATCAATAGTGCATTTTTCTTTAATCAAAACTTCCTCACATTTGTATTATAAATTAATGCAACCTTTACCATTTGTCACACAATAGCTTAAGAATTCTTAACATTTTGTATCAGTTGTAAGTTATTAACTTGCATCAGAACAATCCAACTTTCTACATGTTGTCTTATTCCAAACACAAATACCTCCTTAATCAGTAGTTTTTGCAGCAGAACAAATAGCAGCTGTAGTATAGGATGAACATGAACCAATAGATATACATCCCTTACCTTTACTTGTACACAATTTGTATAATTAATTACAATCTTCATGTGTAGATATACTCTCTGAAGCATCTTCACATTTCCAATTTCTACAAAGTCCAACATTTGTTACTTTATTAATTTCCCATGCACATCTACCAATTGCAGTACTAACAGGAGTATTAACACAAACAGATTATGATTTTAAAGCACTACATTCAGTTTATAAATCTCTACAATTTCCAATATATCCACAGGATTCTTTACTTTTACATGCCTTTTCAGTTTAAACATCTTCACATTCTACACTAGAAACACAACCAAATCCATTTGTAACACATCCTTCTTTAAATGTATTACATAATTCATCAGTATCATAATTGTTTGGAGCTTCATTACATTATACAGAAACACAAGATGAGATAGTAGTAGAACTTGTACCTTTACAAGGTTTGTCAGTAGCTGAGAACATTGCACATGATTTGATTGTACCTTAGAAAGATGAACATGGTTATGGTGATACACAACCTTATCCTTTAGTTATACATCCTTTAAGAAAATCATCACATTCTTGATCAGTTGTTGCACTTAAATTATGAGTACAAACTCTATTGACACAAGCAATTAAAGGTGTAGCTGTACTAGAATTCCAACATTATCTAATACCATTTTCTCCTTTAAATTTACTACATTCTGCTTATGTTCCTGTATATTAAGTACATTTAGCTGTTGCATCAATACATCCTCTACCTTTTGTAACACATCCAACTTAAAATTCTTTGCATAAATCATCAGTATTTGATGTTGTATCATCTGAACATAATCTGTCTCTACATTATTAAGTAGAAGTGGCATTGCTACTATTCCAACATTTTTTAGAATTACCTATAAATTAAGAACAAGTAGATTAATTTCCAATATAACTTGTACATGGTTCAGTTTAGGCAATACATCCTTTTCCTCTAGTTACACATCCAGTCATAAATTAATTACATTAAATATCATTAACACCATCCATATTATCATAACAGTTTTTAACTGTACATGAACCAGTTGAATCTGCACCTTTACATTTTATAGAATTTCCAACAAAGGAAAGACAACTTGATGTAGTTCCAATATATTATGAACAAGAAACTGTAGATTCAACACAACCTTTACCAGAAGTTCTACATCCTGTTAAAAATGCATCACATTCTTAATCTGTCATTGCAGTTGTATTGTGAGTACATTATCTAACTACACAAGTTCCTTAACCATATGCTAACCAACATTTACCTCCAGAAGTAGTTCTTAGATTTTAACATTATGAGGCAGAAAGATTTGTATATTGTGAACATGTATCTTACATATTAAAACAACTAACACCATCATATGTACATGTTGATAAATGATCAGAACAAGTGGTGTAATTAGGATTAATGACACTATTGGCACAATTTCTATTTTCACAAGTTCCAACAGAAGATGAAGATTTCCAACATTTTACTCCAGATGTAGTAGAAGTATTTTAACAAGCACTTTAAGTAAAACTAGTATATGAAGTGCAACTGGCTAAACTATCAACACAAATTGATCCATTGAATCTACAAGTGGAAAGATGAGTAACACAAGTCTAAGCACTTGCATTTTCGACTGAATTACTACATAATCTTGTAGTACATTATTATGGTACATTAAATGGAATCCAACAAAGTCCACCTGAAGTAGTAGTTACTGATTTACAAGCATCAGAAGAGAATCCAGTATAGAGACTACAATCATTCCTTTGATCAACACATTATGTTCCATTGAATCTACATGTTGACATATGTTCAACACATTTTGTAGCTGAATAAGTTAATAATACATTAGAACATAGTCTACTTTCACATGTTCCAACATCACTAGTTGTTTTCCAACATTTAGTGACACCATCATCTAAAGTAGTTTCTCTGCATGCATTTTAAGTAAATGATGTATATAAATTACAAGCATTTTATGAATCTGTACATGATGTTCCATTATATCTACATGAAGCTTTATGTGCAGCACAATTAATTAAATTTGGTGCAGTTACAGTATTACTACATTATCTAACTTGACAAGTAGTTGAATTTACATCTTCTTACCAACATTTCTCAAATGATGTAGTTATAGCTACTTTACAAGCAGCTACACTAAAATCAGTATATGAAGTACAAGAACTAACTGTAGAAACACATTTAGTTCCATCGTATATACATGATGATAAATAGTTTAAACAAAATTCTGCGGAAAATGTATTAGGTTCAATTAATTAAGTAGTGATAGCTGAACATGTTCTAGCTTAACAACTATCATTAGTAGTTGATTTATTCCAACATACACCTGAAGCAGTATTCATTGCACTCCTACAGGCCAATGATGTAAAATTAGTATATAAATCACAAGTTGCTTATTTTTCAACACAATTAGCCCCAGTAAATACACAACCAGATAAAAATTGATCACATTCAATTTAACTATTAGCTGGCCCTTTTTGAGCACAAGTTCGAGTCAAACAATTACCACTTCCACTACCTAAATAGCATAATCCACCTGATACTGTAGTAATCTATTAACATATTGTATAATTTAAATTAGAATAGGATGTACAAGATGCTTCTGCATCTATACATATAGTACCATTAAATCTACATGTTGATAAATAATTAGTGCAAGCAATATTGTTAGCTGGATTAGTAACATCAGAACATCTTCTATTCATACAATTATTTTTGCGAACACATGGTTACAAATTACCTTTAAATATTTAACATTGATCTTCATTTCCTTAATAAGATGTACATAATTCAGTATTCTCAATACATCCAATACCTTTGGTAACACAACCAGATAGAAATTAATTACAAGCCTCATCACTTGTAGAAGTAGTATCTTATGAACATTATTTATCAACACAACTAGAACCACCAATCCACCAACATCTTTTATTATTCCCTTTAAATCCTTAACAATCTGTAGTACTATTTCCTGCATAAGATGAACAAGGTTCACTTTTACTAATACATCCTGTTCCCTTACTTACACAATTGTTTAAAAATTGATTACATTATATATCATCAGTTGCAGTAGTATTATCACTACATTACAAATTCCTACAATTAGATGTTACTCCATTATCTTAATAACATTTTATTGTCCCATTTACTCCATTATATGTACTACAATTTTCCTGATTTCCATAATATATATTACACTAAGATGAACTATCAATACATCCACTATTGCCTTAGAATTTGCATCCAGTCATATGTTCATCACATTATGTTTGACTTGTTGCAGTTGTATTACTCACACATGTCACATCAATACATGCAGCATTACTAACACTTGTACTAGTACATTTGATTCCATTTCCTTTAAAATTGATACATGTATCTTTATTCCCAGTATATTAATTACATGGGGCAGTTATAGATATACATCCTTATGAATTTGTAACACAATTTTCTAAGAAGATATTGCAATCCTCATCTTTTGTATATGTAATAGGAGCATCACTACAAAGTCTTTGTCTACAAATTCCATTTACCCATTAACATTTAACATTATTTGCTAAATTATTATTACATAAACTAATTGTATTATAAAATTAACAACTAGTTTTTGTAACACAAATTTAATTCCATTAACATTAACTACTACCTTAACAACTTATCTCTGCAATTGTTGATGTACACAATGTTTTTTCAACACAACCATTACCATTAGTTAAACATCCACTCTAAAATCCAGAACATTAATCATGACTTGTATATGTTACAGGTGCATTTGAACAAATCTAAGCCTTACAAGCAGATGTTGTATCTCCAACACCATAACAATTACCCTCACTTCCTATAAATTTAGAACAACTACTTGCTGTACCACTGTAAGTAGTACAAGACAATCTATTACTTACACATCCTAAACCAGTTGTCACACATCCATATTAATAATCTTTACAATCTAAATCTGTTTTCAAAGTATCAGGTGCCTCTGTACAAACTCTAACCTTACATCCACCACTTAATCCAATAGTACACTTTCCATCACTTCCAATATATTGATTACATTCATCAGTAGTTCCTGTATAAGTATTACATAATTTTAATTAAGTTACACATCCTCTTCCATTTGTAATACAAGTACTTAGATATTATTAACATAACTCATCAGTATTATTTGTTTTATTTGCATTTTCACATTTTCTTTCTTAACATTAATTAGATACACCTCCATCACATCTACCTTCTAATCCTATCATCTATTAACAAATAAGAACTTCTCCTGTATAAGTACTGCAACTACTCAATGGATATTTTGAACATCCTCTACCTGTTGTAACACATCCCAATTAAAATTTTGCACATTATTCATTTGTTGTTAATTCTTATGATGCTGCTGTACAAAGTATTGGACTACAACCACTACTTGTTTTCTCACAATAACCATCACTTCCTATCATACCTGCACAAGATTCACCATAAGTTGTACATTCTTCTCTTTTCTCAACACAACCCTTTCCATTTGTAATACATCCTGGATAAAATTTATTACAATCACTATCTGTCATCAAAGTTGTACTTGCTTCTATGCATTTTAAATCTCGACATTTCTATTCATCCCATTTGCATCTACGACCTTATGCGTTAATATTTGAATTGCAAAGTCCTTACTCAATATAATCACTACAATTTAAAGGATCTATGCATTAAGTTCCATCAGATGTGCATTATTGAGATATCTATTAACAGACATCATTTGAATTTCCATCATATGCAGAACATCCACTAAATTATTCACAAACACCCAATTTGAATGCACATCCTTTCTATTATTAACAAGTAGTCACATCCAAAGAGCCACAATATACACTTACAGTTTCATCACTTTATTGATCTTCATTTTTAACACATTTTTCATCTTTCCATAAACAACTATCTTAAATGCAATCAGATTTAGATTTTATTTATTCACAATTACATTATTCATTTATTGGTACTGTAGCAGCTAAATTATAAGTAATCAACAAAAATAGCAAAGTCAATCTTATCATTATTATTATTATTATATATATATAAATTATATTTCAAATTTTCCTTTAATTTTTTTAATAGTATCTATCATGATATTCTTTTAATATATCATTTTAATAATACTATATTATTTAACTATTTACTGCAAATTCATCTACTGTTTTATTTTGTCCTCTATCATATTTTTAAACTAAATCAAATTTAAGTAAAAATTGTATGATATATACTCTATTTTAATCTATTTGTTTAATACTATAATAGATAATCATTCATTGACAGAGAAAAAAACTGTTTAACCGATTATTGATATTATTTAATTAATGTGATTTCATTAACACAAATTAATATCAATAATATGAACAAATTAATTGAAAAAAAAGATAACAAATCTCTTGACTTATATGTTGTATTAAAAAACTTAGAATACCTAAAGGATCACTTAGTTATTTTAGAAAAGAAAATAAACAGAAAAAAAATTAAGATTGATGATGACTTAGAAAAAACGATACTTATTTGTAATTCAGATTAAGAAGATTGAACTAAAACTAATTTACATCTCTCTCTCATGATTATAAATTCATTTTTCCATTTAAAACATTTTATTTCTTATTTAACTTCCATTAAGATGATAAATGGCATAAAATTAAATAATTAGTTATCATTTACATCATTTTTCAATAAGAAATTCTCAATTTAAACTTATTCGATAATTCATTCCAACTTTTGTTACAATCATATTTACTGAATAATCCTTAAGTTATTATTATCAAAAATTGAAAAAAACAATATATAAGTAAAATAATGTATTATTATATATGTTCATATCATATCTCATTTATATGTTATAAACATTTATGGTATATCCATAATGAATATAATGTATATTATTTAACAATTATTGAATTGTATATATAGCAGGAATTAACTTATCTAAATTTAATTCGATATTAAAAATTTGATAAAGTCATTTTTATTCGAATAAATATTATTTATTTAAAGATGACAGAATGCAAATATAAAGATTTAGATGAAATTTATAAAGAACATTGCAATGAAAACTTTAATAGCACAGATAAGATAGTCACTTTTATTTTGAGGTTAATAATATTGATGATTTGTGTTTATTCAAGTTTTTAAGTACTCTTGATTATCAAAAAGAGTAATAAAAGGTAATTTTGGCCATTTTAGTTAATCTCTTTTTAAGTTATTTCTGAATCTATTGATCTTGTTTTTGCTTTAATATTTACAATTAATAGCTCATGTTGGCCAAATGCTTGTAAATTTGTTGGATATATTATGCATTCTAATTGGTTAGCATCTTTGTTATATATGTTATTTTAATGCTTCATTTACTTTTTATTGATAAAAGTAAAATATGAATTTATTTTATAGTCAGAAATTCTATTCAACTTTGTAATTAAATATCTTTATTTCTTTTTGTTTACATTTTATATTGTCCCTTATGTATTTTTATATAAAGTATTCTCTGATGATGGATTTGGTCCTTCTGGATGGTATTTAAAAAATGGAGAATTTAATTTTATATTTTGTGGATGTACAAATTACAATTTAAATTTAGTTATAAATCATTAAATAATTGGATTTTGGATTGTCCCTGTTGCAATACTTTTTAGTTTATCAATTATTCTTTCAATTTATGTAAACTATTTAATTAAAATAGAATTCATGTTATTGGTATCATTTACAATATAAAAAAGAATTAAGATATCCTTCTTTAAGAATTTAATCAATGATTTTATTCCCCTTACTTTACCTCTTTGCATGGATAATCAATTTTTTAATTAGGTATAAAATAATTGATGAATAGATTAAAAGACACAGCTGCTAATAATTAAAATTATTGTCCTTAATAAAATAAGAATCTAGTTTTCTACATATTTTATTAATTTTTAAACCTAGGATTTGAGTTGCATTTGACTCTAGGTGCTATTCTATTTTTTTATATATATAGGTATATTATGATATATTTTATAAAAGAGGATTATTTAGAATAAATTCTTTATGTGATTAAATTTGTTTAAGAAAGAGAAGGTAGATAAAATAAAATAAGAAAAAACTTTATTAAGATTAATCAGTTTTAGCCATTTAATTAGAATGATCATTAAATTTGTAATCCTAATACTTAATTATAATAGTTATTATTTATAAAAATCAATAATTATTGATAAATCATCTTTAAACAGTAATTTATTATATTTCTATTCATTATTTAATCTTTTTTGATATCAATAATAAAATATAACTCAATTTTACTATTTATATATATAAATAAAAAACGAAAAGAGTTCATTTTTTATCATTATTTGTTTGTTTTTAATCAAAATAAATGTAATTAAAAATTAATAGAATTATGTTTTACAATTAGAATCTAATGAATTAAGGTTTTATACATTTAAAAAGTGATAATTATCAAATTTTGCTACTTAATTCATCTTAACTTGCTCAATAAAGGAAGTATTAAAATAATAATTTTGTATTCTAATTATAATAATATTAATTTTTATATTGCTGCAACTCTATGGACCCCTAGTAAGAAAATTTTGATTAGAGTGTTAAAATTCTATTAATTGGAGATGTTTGTGTTGGAAAAACTTAGTTGATTTATAGATATTGTGAAAATAAATTCTTAAATACATATTTATCAACAATCGGTGTAAATTACAACGAAAAATCAATTGATATCGAAGGGAAGAAAATACTAATGAAAATTTGGGACTCTTCAGGATAAGAAAGATTTAAACAATACACTTTATCAGGTTATAAAGGAGCTAGTGCAATAATCCTTGTATATTCTATAAATGATAGAGGTTCATTTAACAATGTTATTACTTTTTGGACAAATCAAATTAAGCAATATGCAAGTGAAAATGTATGTATATTACTAATAGGTTTCTATTTTAATTTATTCATTTATTTTAGGAAATAAAATTGATGAATCAAATAGGTAAGTCGCAAGAGATGAAGGAGATGCATTTGCAAGATAATTTGGATTTCTTTTTTATGAAACTTCAGCAAAGGAAGGTACAAATGTGACAGATGCCTTTTATGCAATAGTCAAGTAAATCACAGAAAAATAACCTATTCCATCTGCTGAAAAATAACATAATCCACCTGCTGAAAAAAAATAATGTAATATTTTCTGATTTGAATACAAAATAAACAATATTATATAATTTCATCTTTTAACTGTATCTAATTTGTTATTAAATATTAAATGTTTAAAATTTCTCATTTTATCAACTTAACAATATATAAACATAATATCAATATAAAATATTATTGTGAGAAACTATTTTTAGATCTAAATATAATTATATTATCAATAATAATTCTTTTAAAGTAAATCCTCTATTTATATTATGAAACCAAATTTATAAATAGAATACCAATCTCAAACTGTTTCTCCCATCATCCAAATATTTTCACGAATTCTAAAAGAAGAGAGAGAAAATGAATATTAAGATGATCATGAAGATGATGATGACGAAGAGACTCCAATTAAAAAGGCAATAATAATTATTATAGCCTTATGTATTGGATTAGTAATACTTGGAATACTTTCATGTTTAATTAGATATTTTTATATGAGACATAAACAAAAAAGAATAGCATAAGTTAGACAACAGTCAGAGGCTGCTTATTAATAATAGAATATTTAGATAGAGTCTCTCTGTTTATAAACTTAGGAACTAGCTTAATGTCCAATCTGTTTGATGCCAATACCTAATTGCTATTTGATAATAACCCCTTGTAATCACTCTTTTCATTAGGCTTGTCTCAATTTATGGCTGCAAGTTGAAAAAATCTGTCCTTCCTGCAGAACTTCTCTAAATTAATGAAATTCGTTCAATTACAAAATTAACACTTTAATTAATGAAGTCATAAATATCTTAAGTTGTTGTTATTCATTTACAAATTTATTTATTTTTTCATTTTTTTGTAATTTCATACATAATTCTAAATTATTTTATTTTAAAATTAGTTAATAAATAAATTTCGTAAATACTATTATCTGATACAAATATTAGTATATATAAAGTAATATACTTTTTATATCAATTTGAAGGTTTCTTTTAAAAAGATCTATGATAAAACAAATAGAATTTGAATAAGCCATTCCTATTTTCATTAATAATTAATGATTAGAATAGAAATTTGATGAAATTAAGAGATAAAAAATCATCTTTGGTATAAAAAATTAATATTTTTATCAATAATCAATTGACATATAGCATATATGAAATACTATGATGTATTTTTTATATTATTTATAAATATAAAATGAATAATTCTCAAAAAAGCAAATCTGTTCGATCTGGTTCTGCAAGAGTAAGATCAGCAATTGAAAGAGCAGGATTACTCTAATAAAGAGAATAATTACGTGAGATGTTAATAAGCAAATTTACCAAAGATTATGCTTAAGGGAATAAAAGCAAAGAAGTTCTAATATAATAAATAGTTAATGAATACTTTACAAATGAACAAGTACCTAGCATCTACTAAATTAGGTTACAGAAAACTCTCTAAAGTAATTGAAAGCAAGAGTAATTGAGGCTGTTTAAAAATAAAAGGTTCAAAGTTAAACATAACATGTAACCTAGAATAATAATAATTCTCATCTTGACAATAAAAGTGAATAGAGATCATAAATTCCTAGACCACAATCAGTTAGAAATTCAACTAAATCAGAAGTTGATCAAGATTAATATTCTGTAACGTCTTCTCAATTTGAAAAACAACCAAAATCTGTATATGTAGTAGATGAAGAGGATGAATGGGCTGCTTTAGTAAAATTTGATACGGAACTATATACTAAAGAGTAGCAATTAGAGTAATAGAGGTAGGAGGAGTTTAAGAAAAAGATGAAGTTAGAATTAGATAGACAGTTAGAGGAGAAGAAACGAAGATTAGAAATGGAAAAGAAACAAGAAGAAGCTTATGTTAAATTAAGAGATTACTAGATGGGAGTCTATGATCAAAGAGAAGAATAGAAAAAAAGAGAAATAGCATAAAAATAATAAATGGAAAAAGAATAAAGAGATAGATAAGTAAGGGAAGAAGAGAAAAGAAAATTCTTGGAAAAAAAGAAATAGTCAGAATTAGATGCTATTTTAGTATAAAGGATTCAAGAAGAATTAAAATAAGAATAGAGAGAAATCTTATAAAAAAAAGAAATTGAAAAAAGAAAATTTATAGAAATGATGGATGAAAATGAAAAAAATAGATAAAAATAAATTTAAGATGAAATAACAGATAAATAATTAGAAGTTGATATGCAAAGGAAGTATATCTAGTTACAATAAAAGCTGGAAGAAGAACGTGAAATGGAGAAAAAAGAAAGAGAAGACAAAATAAAAAAGATAATGAGTGATTTTTCATAGACTGTAGTAAAGAATTAAAAAGATTAAATAAAGTATAGAAATGAATTAAATATAGAGCTGAAGATGATAAAATGATGAAAGCTATCTTAATGCAAAATTAACTTGAATAGTAAGATGAAGAGATGAAAAAAAGATAAATAAAATCATAATAAGAGGAAATGAGAAAATATTTAATAAAATAAATGGAGGATAAGAAGTATTTATATAATAATGGCTTTAGATAGAAACTAAAAGAAGAAGAAGAATTAAATAAGAAATAAGCATAAGTTTGGCAACAAGATTTATAGACATTCTAAAAGCATGAGAAATCTAAATATGATTATATAAAGGATGTGAATGTGAAACATTAAGAGATTTTAAAGTAGTAAATAGATGAAAGAAGATCATAATAGAGACCTAGAAATAAAATGAATAATGAAGAATTAATGCATAATAAACCTTTGTTAAAGGAATTGGCAGATAAATAAGATACTATTAAGGTTAGGAAGATTAATATAGGATGAGAATAATATTGATATAGATTATATATTAAGTATTTAAATGTGATTACAAATCTATAAATTAAATTATCAATAAATGACACATAGTTATGGTTTGAAGAAGGGTACAAGAAGCAAATTTGCTAAACCTTTTAGAGGACATGGAAATATTTCAATTCGCAAGACACTTCAAACATTCAAAAGAGGTAAAAATTACAATTAATTTACTTTAAGGTGATTTTGTTGATATTTTGGTTGATGGTGCTTAACATAAAGGAGTTCCATTTTAATATTATCATGGTAGAACTGCAAGAGTATTTAATGTCAATCCAAGAGGAATTGGTGTTTCATTATAAAGAAGAGTTAGAGGAAGATATGTAGAGAAAAGATTCCATGTTAGAGCTGATCATTTGAGACCATCAAAATGCAGATAAGAATTTGTTAAAAGAGTTTAAGAGAATGATAAAAAGAAGACAGAAGCAAAGAAAAATAAATAAGTCATTTCAACAAAGCGATAACCAGTTTAACCAAGAGGAGCAACAGTTGTTATTCCAAAATAAACAACCTTCTAACATCCTAAGGCTTTTGTAGAAATTATTTGATAAATAAATAAGTATATTAAATAAACAAAATAGAAAATATTCTATAATTTGGTATTATATGATTATGTTTATTTAACTTGATACATCACAATCATTTTTCTTATTATTATTAAGGTCCATCAAAATCATCTTCATCTTCCTTTCTTCTATAATAATATGTCTCAAGATTTTTTTTGTTAATCTATATTAAAATTATTATTAAATTAATACCTTCTTTAATTTTTCAGGTGGGAAGATTCTTAATAATCTCCAAGCCAAATCCAATGATTTGAAAATAGATCTGACTTCATAGGCTCCTTAACTGATGAAATTATTCTCAAATTTCTTTAAAAATTCTAAATACAAAAGATCTTCAGCTGACAAGGCTTCTTCTCCTACGACTGCTTTCATTGATGCAGTATCCTTACCAATAGCATAATTTGCATATAACTAAAAATAGAGATATAAAAATTACTTGATTTGAGACTTCAGGATGATCCTCTCTGGTCATACCTTTACCAATAGCTGATTTCATCAATCTTGATAAGGATGGTAACACATTGATAGGTGGGTAAACTTATTTATTATTCAATTATCTGTCAATGAAAATTTATCCTTCTGTAATATATCCTGTAAGATCTGGAATTGGATGTGTAATATCATCATTAGGCATTGTCAATATTGGAATTTGAGTAATTGATCCATTTTTACCTTAAACTCTACCTGCTCTCTCATAAATGGTTGAAAGATCTGTATATAAATAACCAGGGAAAGAACGTCTTCCTGGTACTTCTTCTCTGGCTGCAGATACTTCTCTTAAAGAATCTGCATAGGCTGACATATCTGTTAAGATAACTAACACGTGTAATTCCTTTTCATATGCCAAATATTCTGCAGTTGTTAATGCCAATCTTGGAGTAATAATTCTTTCAATTGTTGGATCATTAGCCAAGTTCATAAACAAAACGACTCTTTCCATTGAACCATTCTATTCGAAATCTGTTTAGAAAAATCTAGCTGTTTCCATATTAACACCCATAGCACCAAATACTACTGCGAAATTTTCATCAGAATGATCAAGAACATCTTTACCTTTTACTAATGAAGCTTAACGCACAATTTAACTAAAATTATGGTTATTAAATCATACGCTCCTATTTCATTATGTGGCAAACCGTTAGCAGAAAACAATGGAATCTTTTATCCTCTAGCAATTGAGTTCATGCAATCAATAGCTGAAATACCTGTTTGAATCATTTCTTATGGATAAACTCTTGAATATGGATTGATGGGTTGACCCTAAATATCTAAAAATTCTTCTGCCAATACAGGGGGACCTTTATCAATTGGAACTCCTGATCCATTAAATGCTCTTCCAAGCATCTCTTCAGATATAGCCATCTAAAGTGTTGAACCTGTGAATTCACAATGAGTGTATAAATTATCAATTCCAGATGTTCCCTCAAAGATTTAGACGACAGCTTTCTTTCCTGCAATTTCCAAAACTTAACTAGAATAATTATATTTATCATTACCCTTTTCTCACTGATCCATCACCTAAACAAACATTAACAATTTCTGCATATCTTGGGAATTTCACATTGTCCAAAATAACTAATGGGCCATCCACCTTTACAACTGTTCTATAATCTACTCTTGGTGTCACATTATAATTTCTTGTAGCTGCAGCTGCATTTAAACGAGCTGCTGCAACCTTTGCTATGTCATGGGCCTTATGATGATGACTCATAATATAAAATAAAGATATTTATGGTTTTAAGAATTTATAAACAAATATTAATATTTCCCTTCATTTATTCTCTGTTCAGCTTTAGAGATATCCTCTCTTTCTAATAGGCCTCTTACATATTCTAGTGAAATAATTCACTTATGTCTTTAAATTAAGAAAAAAACGCAATAAAGTTAAGTTAAATCTTTATTGTAGATTTAGTCATAAATAGGTTGTTTATTATTATAAATCTTTTATAAATTCATAGTTATATTAGATTAAATCTATCAACTGAAATTTTGATCTCAAATTGTTGAAAAATAGGATTTTATGAAACTTATTATAATATTTTAAATACTTGAAAAATAGTTATAATTAATTTAAATCAATTTTATTGAATATGATCTTAAAATAACTTAATTAAATAGATAGATATAATTACTTTAATTGTACATAAAATCTTGGAATTTCATAGATAAAGTAAGACAACATTTATCTAATATTAATAAATCAATAGTAGACAAAATATGTAAAGAAGAATTATTAAAGTTATTTATTTGATGTATTTACATATAAACTTCATGATTTATTCAGATATTTATTTATACTTGATATCAATTTTTCAGTTTAAAAGTGACTCTATTTTAATTTTGTCAACTTCTGTTAAAGCAGATATATATTCTGATATTCTAGCATGTGTTGGAGATCCTTCAATCCTTTTTTCAAGAGAATCAATCTTAGTTTTCATTTAAATATTTTCTTTAGTCAAAACAGAATTTTCGGTTATTAGTTTTTTCTATTTTAAGTTTAATAATTACATTTTAATCTTTTAGAATTTTTATAGTTCTTTATAATTAAATGATTTCCAAATCACGATCTAGTAATTATTTCTACATTTATAGATTTGATTATTTTACAACATTTTCTTTGAGCTAATTAAAATACAAAATTACTTTTAACTTATTGTTTCTCTTCTTCTATACTCTCTGCTACAGTTGTTTTGGTGCAACTTAATTTATCTGTCTTTATATCTACTAGAGAACTCACCTATTAATTTTATGAATCATCTTGCTTCATTGTAGAATTGAACTTCGATTCTTCAGCTTGCTTAAAATAAGAGTATAAATAACCTATGTAAACATTCGTAATTTAATATCAGAATAAGGAGTTCTTATACACAAAGTAGATCCACTAATAGGTTACTTATTAGGTAGAGCAGGAGCTCTGATGATAGTTACAGGAGAATTTTTTCTTGTTTCAAAATGCTTTTACAATAAGGAAGTTGACTATCTATGGTAAATATTCTAATATGAAATAGACTTCTGATTACTTAAGTGAGTGGCAACATTAAATTAAACAAGAAAATTAAAAAAATAAATTTTATAATGTTTGAGTATTATAATGTGGCATTTTATCCCTTTTCAATGCTTTAACTTTTATTTATTGTAACTTACAATAATTTAAGTTTTGTATTGAATTTTCTTGACATTTACTTTTCAAAGTATTAGGAGATGACTAATTCATATATATTATTATTCTTTTTTGTATACAAGATCTTTATTTAATTTACAGAATTCTTATAAACTAATATGCAATATTTAAAAGCATTTTAATTTGTTATAAATCTAAAGGTAAGATCTTTATTGGGTTTCTCACTTGCTGGTAATCAGTGTTGATGGTGCATATAAGAATTAATTTATTATTGTAAAATAATGTAAATAAAGCGAAGTTTAATTGAATAAAATAGATTGGAATAATTTTTGGATGGAAACACTTAGAGTAGGATACTCTATCATTTGTAAGGAAAGACGATCAAAAAAATAATTTCTAACCCTACTAAAATGTAGGATACTCTTTTCAAAAATTAATTTAAAGTACAAAAAATAATGATACTACATCTAAATTTCATTTTCTTAAAAATTAATAAGTATGTGGAGATTTACTGGGTTTTAAAAAAAGAGATTTAACTCTAAAGGATTAAGCTGTCTTTCTTAAATAGAGGCTTAGAAGTTATAAAATCCATCTTTAAACTGATTAAGGTTTCATTAAATAGTTTAGAGAATAGAAAAAATAGTATGTTCCAAAAACTAAATTAAGCAGATCTTTTTAACTCCTAGAAAAGAACATTTCTAGTTCAGTTATTAATAATTGATTTTAGTAGACTTCAGGTCCAGGAGTATGAGTCTATTATAACTTAAATAATTCAATATATACATCTCTATAGGTCAATCAATTGAATTTAATAAATGTCCATGAATGAGAAAGCCACCATCTCCAAATTGGAGGAGGGATTTTTGTGATTTCCAAAATCTAAAAAGGAATGAAAATTCACCTAATTTCCAGAGAACTATCAGTAGGAATAAAACTTATTAAAGAAGTATTTTGCTTAGATTGAGATTCAGAAGAAGGCATGGTATTTTGAAATAGGTTTATAGTGAAAAAATTTAAAAAGAGGAATCTTATGATAAATAAAAAATCGACAGAGAGAGGTTGAGTACTTATTCTATCAGTAATAAAAATATGGGAAATTCTATATTTATAAAGATTGAATTACTAGAGAATAATAGATAGCAATAATGCGATAAAGAAGTTAGTATAACCAGATGCTCTTGATAATAATTGGAGTAAGAAATTGTATATCTAAAATATTTAGAATATAGAGAGAGCCATGATTTAAAGAAAATGAATGGATGTAAAATTAAAAAGTAAAGAGTTTAAATCAGCTAAAAATGGATGAATATTTAATTCATTTATTTATTAATTTTTTTTCATTCTTATTTCATTTTATTGGTATTTAAATAATAAGGAATATTATTTTAAGAAAAAAATATATTAATTAATTAATTTTCTATGCTGAAAAATATTGTTCCACCTAAGATCTTAACTAAAATCTCTTGCTATAATAGACTAAGATAAACTTATGAATTTGTTGTAAAGAAAAATAGAATTAGAACTCAAATTAAAATAGAAAGAATTAGAAATTAAATTAAATTATAAATAGGATTAATATGAAGATTAAGAGAACATTATATTTAAATAATCACAGCCTCAAGATTCTAAAAAAGGTTATTAAAAATAAAGTAAAAAGGTTTATAATTATAATAATCATCCTCAATTTTAGCATAAATGAAGGAAGCTGAAAGAGCTGAAAACTAAGAAAAAGAAATGTTATCTAAAATAGAATTTCTAGAAAAAGAGAAAAACTTTATAAAATTAATTTGAATAATTAAAAGCATCTATACGAGCTGATAATATTTAATTTAAAAAATAAGCTATTAAAAGTAAAAGTGATGCAAATAAATTTTAAAAGCAGAAAGATGATTAATTGCTTTGCCAATAGATATTTTTAAATAAAATTACATTTTCCATGAGTACAGATATATATTAATATAGAAATTTCACTAAAATGAAATTAATGAATATATTTGATTTATTATATTATCAAATTTTTGTGAATTCTTCAAATATTTCTTCTAAACTACTATGCATAACAAAAAAGTGCATTAAATGAAACACAGGATTTAAATCCATATTTTTCAGACTTTTAGCTATTAATCTATAAATTAGTATTCTTCCATAAATTGTAAATGGTTCTATCAATGCTTGTGAAATCAGAATATTCCCTAAATAGATAATGGCAGCTACATATTATTCTGATTGCATTTAAATTCTATCATAGTTTAATAGATACTTTTTTATGTAAAAAACATAAATGACAAGATGGGGGGACATCATTAATATGATAAGTACAAGATGGCTAATAAAAGCAGCAATTCTTTTGAACCTATATATAGCTTCAATAATTTTATAAAAAATTCTCATTAACAAAATGATAAAGGGGTTTAAGATTATGAATACACAAATGAAAAGAATTTAATTATTTAACAAATAGCATTCAAGTAATGTTAAAGTTAATTATAAATTAAATTAGGAGAATACTTCTAAAATTCTATAACTTAATTCTATATTATTGTCTTTATAATTAAATAGGGAAATAGTTTAATGGATTTGCTAATATAACAATTAAATGATACCTTTATTTTTTCTTTAAACACTTTAGAATTACTGTTATATATTAAAATTTTCTTTTCTTATGTGTTTGGTGAGCTCAAATTACTTTATTCAGTTTCAGATCTCTCTTATACAACTTTTTTATTTTTACATAATTAAAAAATAAAAATGCTAAGAAAAATGAATGACAAAGAACAAGTACTGAGCTGTAACGCTAATAGATCTTGAGATTTGGAAGCAAATTCAAGATTATTTATTTATTAAGGAGAGTCGCTAACATTTACAATACTAAAATTTGTAGAGGTTGTTAGGAAAACCTCACCAAACTTATCGCATTCACAATGTAACTCAATCGTATTGTTATTTTATACTCTATTCAAATTACACTAATAAAATTTTCCAGTTATTGTTCTAATTGCACAAAATAATTCATATTCAATTAACAATTATGTAGTATTTTAGCAAACTTGATAGGATCCAAATTTTGTGCTATAAATAGATGAAAAATTTTCATATTCTTAAAATCTTCTACGATAACAGTTTTTCAATTTAATTTAATAGTAATAATCTGAGTATATTTGTAATGTTTGGTCATTTAAATATTTTTAGAGTATCAATTCTAGATTCGAACTAAATCTTAAAGGGTTTGTTTTAAAATAAGCAGATTCAGATTGAATAAAATCTAGAAGGAAATCTTCTTTGGTTTATTTAATGTTAAATTATTGATTGAATAATGATTTTGTGCTTCTTTTGATTTTCCAAATAATTTCAATTCCATTAATAACTAGTGGCTTTTCGTTTACTATAATAGAATTTTTGGTTTCCTCTGCAATCTTATTAAAAACTTTTAACAACTCAACAATAATTTGATCAATCATTTCATTTTTTATATTTATTTATGAAAAATCAGAATAGATATCATCAAGATAGTATAATAAACTTCTTAAGCAATCTTACGAGCTTTAATATTATTAAAAGATTTATTCATTCCAAATGTATAAATTTTATTCTAACTCTTCTTCGCATTGTTTTTTCATTTTAATAAAATATTGAAAAAGGATATTAAATTTTTTAATTTATTCTTTGAGATTTTCTATCTTTTTGGTTAAATTTACTTGAGGCTATGTGGAATGTTAGGTAATAAATAAATGGTTTGAGTTTATATCAAAACATTTTTTTTGAATTTCTTCATTCAGTACTCGATTTTTAGGTTAAAAATCTTCTTAAAAGATTAAGAACTATTTATATAATTTTATAGCTTAAACTTTCAGGATATTCTCATTTTTATCTGATAAAATTTAAGATTAAATTAAATCAAGATAAATTTTTTAATGTAGCTCATTACATTTTTGATTCATTGCTTCAAATAGCAGAGTTATTTTCTTATATAAAGTAAAATTTTGAATCTGTATTGATGAACAATTGATTTTTGCTGATTTAATTATAATTTTTTCATAAGCATAAGTCACTGATCCCCCATTATCAAGAACTTCTACTAAAATTCCAATTTTTGTCGAGTCAACAGAAGAAGGAGCTTAAATTGAGAATTAATTTTAAGTTTAAAATGGATAGAAAATTTAGGAATTATCTGATATTCCTTTTAAAAAATCTATTAAATCAGATTCTCTCAAGAATTACCTAAGCTAATATTTATAAGGAGAGTCATTTGATTATTCACAAGTTGTTGCTACTAAAAAATCTGTAAGTGCAAAGTCATCTTAACGATTAATAAATAATTTAGAACATTTAGGAGGCTAATTTATAGATAATAATATATTTTTTATGCTTGGCATGATATTATTCATATATTAAGCTGCAAATTTAAGATTTATTTTATCACCAAAATTTAATTCTTTAATGCTATTAAATATTTTGAATTGATGAGAAACGAATTTTGGTTGCAGTATTTCAATTATCTAATAGTCATAAATAAGTGTGATTGATAGATCTAATAAATGAACTTTTTTCTCAAAAGGAATTAGATATGTAAAATTTAGTTATTCATAATTATTAATTTTTCTCATTAAATAACCCTTATTAAATTATAATTCTAATTGAGGGAAATCATCATCAAGATAAATAATAATTAAAGCAAATTTAGATATTTATTGAAATTTTGTAACACTTACTGTCCATTCTTAGACAGTAAAGGAGGATATTGTATTCTTTTTAATGAACTGATAAGAATCAGTTTTATTTACATTTATTATTTTTTTTTATTCATTTTTGCATGAAGTATTAAATGATAAATCTTTACAAGTCACTTCAATATTTAAATCTGGATCACTTTAACTTTCATTTGTTGAATCTAAATCTTCACATTATATTTTGAGATTTAAATCTCTTCTAATATTCTAAATTCCTTGGTTGTTGAAATAACAAACCAATCCAGCCATTTTAGTTTCAAAAGTAAAATTTTAATTTTAAGATTTATGAGAATTTTAATTAGTTGCAGTTACTTAAAATGTATAAGTTGAATTGTTGCTTAAAGTATATCTTGGAATAGTTGTGTAGACCATTTCAAAGGAATTGGAATCAATAGTAGTATTCAAATCTGATGAAGATGACTTTTAAGGATATCTATCAATTTCAATTAGTTAAATCGAATATCTAGAAGTATCATTTGAAATAGAATTTACTAATGTGCCAACAGAAACACCAATTGAGATTGTTTCATAAATAAAATATGAGGGTTTCACATCTAGAATAATTTATGGAACATCTCCTGCATGAGTATATATTGTAAATTCAGAATAAGATTCAATAAGGATAAAATTTTAATATTAAATCCTAAATTTTAATGCTGAATTACTAGGTAAAGTAAGTTTTGGTATTAATAAATTTTATTCTTAGAGAAGGTTAATTTAAACCAAAAATTAATTAAGCATTGAACTGGATTCGTCAGATTCAACCTAACAACTCCAATTAATGTTAATTAACTTTCTATTTCCGTTGTGTATAATTGATTGTAAATATACCTAATTGTCAGCATAAGGATTGAGTTTATGAAGGGGTAAACCATAATAAATTTTAGGAGGTAATGGATTCTTTGGTGATTATAATATTGCAAAGATAAACTTTTTCAAAGTAGTTTAACAATTTATATGAGATAATGAATTATCTTTAAATAGGATTGCTTCACCAACATTAATTTTCGAGTTTTCTCCTAAATATATTAATAATTCCATATTATCCTCAGGGTTAAGGGTACAAACTGAATTTTAACCAAAATTTTGAACAGATATTTATTCAAATAATTAAGAGCATCTATTAACTTATATTTAAGAATCGAAGCTCTTTGAATTTAAAGGGTAATCAAAATGGATAATGATCATAGTCAGGTTATCTGATAAATATGAATTAACTACTGCAACTTGACAAGTTAGTAATAATATTTTGGAGTTAGATACTTGAACACCAAGGAGTATTAACATACCAAATTGAGTTTGGCGGAGGAATACAGTTCATTTCTTCATTTAGTTCTCTATTAGCAAAGCAAGACAAACATCCATTAATATTGCATTCTAAACAGGTATTATCACATTTTTAGCAATCTTCATTTAATTGATCATCATAATATCCAGATGAACATTTGCATAATG